TGACTTGAGTGGCTTAGTTGCAAGAATAGGAATGAGAAGCAGAAGAAGAAGAAGTAAAAGAAAAAGAAAAGAAAAGAAGAAAAAGGATTTTCTTGTGAAACATTGACAGATTGTTGAAAATACATGATCATACAGAATGATGATGATATACTAGCCTTTACCTTCCCTGATGAAACTCACTTTATCTCTTCACTATTCAACTTTAATCTCATCTATTCACGCTCACATAAACTGGGCCAATTTAAGATTCATTGTTCATCATGATCCTTCCTTATCCTGAAGGATAACTCGAACATGTTAAACCTTGTTATTACATTGACTTCAACTTTTCCCTCTTCTCTCATTTTCATCTTCATCTTCCATTACAGTCTCTTCATTATTATCGTTCTGTCTCAAGACGAGAAGACGATGAAAGGACAAAATTGTAAATGCATTTATATCTGCTTAACTCGACTAATTTTCATTGTTACAACCAACAGGGTGAAGCAAAAAGAAAAGTCCACAAAAAAAGGAATCTCTGATAACTATTCATTCGTCTTCAGACTAAACCTATTGTTGATGATGATCAAGATGATGTTGATTCTCATTAAAATGTTATAAGCCATAATTGAACTCATTAAGCATCCGTAATCATCTCAATATTTTAATCACTTTTCCTGATTTCATCTCTTCTGGATTTAACTTGTCCAGTTATCCATAGCCTGATGTGTTAATCAACTTTACTCAAACTTGTTGACTGTTGAGCAGAAAATTTTTTATTCAAACTTTTCTTTTCGTTTGTATCTTACATTGGATAAAGTCAATGTTGACAGTTTACAACTGATTTGTGAATTAGAGGATTACACTTGTTAATCAGGTTATTGTGACTCACATTGTATTCAGATTTTTTTGTTATTTGAAAACAAAAAACACGAAAAATCCCTGCTTAAATAACTCATCATGAAAAACAATCCCAGCACAAAATAATATAAAATAGATAAACAAGACGTTTCTTTGGTTCGCTATTTTCAGATTCATTTTCTTTCTTCTTCTTTTATATCATCATCTTTACCTTCTTAGTTGATCCTTCATCATCATCTATTGTATCAACATCATTCTCATCATCATCTTCTTATTACTTCTTTATGTCTATTCTTCAAATATTTGCTTGTAATTTTTTATTCTTCCTCTTCTTTGTTCGTCTTCCCTTCATTTTGAATATTTTTGATTCTTCTTTTTTTCCCATTCATCCAACTCTTTCCTTCACCTTTTTCCTCTCAATTTTACATCTTTACCTATTTCCATCAACAGACAAACATATTATGAAAGTAACAAACTTCAACAACAAACACTCAACTCAACTTATCCAAATTAACCAATTTGATTGTCAATTCTGGTCTCTGGACTTTTCAATGATCATTACAACAGAATGTTGTTTTTTTCATCAAAAAATGTTGTTTAAAGTAAAGCAGCAAACAAAGCCTTGGGCTACTGACTTCATCTGATGCTTAGATTATCTTTACTTGAGTCTAGCACCACATGAATTCAGTTCATCCAAGCTTTTCAAATCACCACAAATTAACCAGCAATTATTGTTACCTTTTTCCTCTCTTCACACGGGTAAGTTAAACTTGATTTAATTAGACTTCTTTCAATTCTTTTAATCAAAATAATCTGTCAATCTTGCAAGATGGCTTCAGGTTAAACAATGTCAACTTCAATTTGGATTCAGTCAAATTCATTGTTGTAAAAGTTATTGAATGAACCTTGTTAAATGAAGTGAACTTATAATTACTTTACATTTTGTGTTGGATTTTCCATTCTTATTCTTCTTCTTCATCATCTTATTTCCCATCGCAAGGCATCAGTAATCAGTTGATTGAAAAAGCGATCCAATTAATTGAAAGGGTAAACAAACAAGTATAATGATTATAATTGCATTGAGAGTGCATTTGTTTATTTTGAGAGATTCAACAGAATGAGATGAACAGAATGCAATCAGATTGAATGAGCAAAGATGACATTTTTTTGTAGTTTGTTTGCAATTTGTGAAAAGGTAAAAATCAATTACAAAATAGTTAAATTCAAAAAGGTTTTGTCAGGTAATGATAATGTGTACCTTTGCGTATTAAATCAAGCAAACGTTATTGTTCAAGTTTACTTTGAAAGGCTGGGAATCAATGTTGGAATACAATTGTAATACAATTTAATTTAACACCAATTTTAACAACATGATAAGATGATGTTCACTGATCATGGATCGTCTCTTTTCAATGGCTTTTCATGGATAAACATTGAAGTAATGAGAAGGAAAAAATGATTTGAATAAACAGTTTCAAGATTGAGTTTTGTTCAACCATTTACTCTGACCTTTTTGATTGACTAAATAGACACTTAATGAATGCAAAAGGTCGCAACCTTTCAACAAATAATTACACATTTCTATTCATTCTGTGCTTTTCAATTTTCTTTTTGTTTCAGTTTTACTTTTCCCGATAATTATCTCACTTTTTTCCCTGTTTTTGGGACTTATTTTGCCATTGCACGTTTCAGTTCATTAACAAACCTCAAGTAACTGTCTTTATTGAGGTCGAGTGCTTGAAGTGTCAAGAGTCTTTACATCTTGAAAACCTTGTTAAATCTGTTATCAGTCAAATTCATGTCAAAATATTTTCTCCCAGTGATTCGAACCAGATTTCATGCTCTTTCTGTCCTTTTAAAGTTTCGACAAAAATGGTGTGAAGTTAGATGGCAATCTTGAGTTTCAAGTAGAGCGTCAATGATGGTGTATAAAGACACGTTTGATCTGAAATGTGAAACAGAGATTTCATGATTTTTGTTGAAAAATGGTCAAATAACAGTTTGAATCAACAGTCACTTTTGTGCAACTGATGAAGTTGATGTAAAATGAGATGAAAATAGAGGAAAATCAATAGTATCTTTATTGATTGCAATGAAATGAAAAATAAAAAGTGAAACAAAAAAAGTTATAAATAAATTGTAAACCTGAGCAACAGTTGCTTGTAACCCATTCTTGAATAGTTTCATGATGAAGATGCCACCTTTTATCAGCTACTTACAACTGTTACTTGCAAATTGCTGCAAATTGATAAATTATGCACAATTAAGTCACCAATCTTGAAATTATAGTCTCAAATTGAATTTGCTTCCAATCAATAAGCTGATTCTAAATGTGAAATCTCAAGATGTTTCAGCTACTGAATGCAACCTGAACTTACAATTTTCAACAAAATCGATAGACACTGCAGTTGAAGCATCTTCATTGATCTTTCATTTCAATAATTTATTCGGACATTAGATTAGCTTTGTTAAAGTGCTTTATAATACAATAGTAGCAATAAAATATCCAACCAATTTAATAAACAAATATATTAACAAAAGTATATCTGATGGACTTTAACCGTTTATTGCTTGGTGATCAAACTCATAGTCAGGTTATCCTCTTAGATAATATTTTCAGATCCAATGAATCAAATAAATTGAATAATTAATCGTCAGCTTATTTTGTACCAGATCTTTGATAAGTAATGATAGAAACCATTAGATGTTGAATACAGTCAACTCTTGAAAAGGAAAATCAAAACTCTCAGATCGAGGTGTTTGAAAAGTTCATTTGTTTTATTGTTTTGATTCATTCTTTAAGAGATGAAAAGTTCATTAGTAAATGATGAAGATAAGAAATGCTGAACTCAGTTTGAATTTCAGTTGAAAAACATTTTCACACCAACTTAGTTTCACAGATATTGGTTTCAGTTTTTCAGCATGAACAGTCTTGAGAGCATCTTTGGTCGATCATAAGTTCCAGTGCTATGTAAGCACTCTAAATTGTGTGTAACTATGCATTCGAGTTCGGTTGGATTTACGATACATTCTTACTCCACAGCAAATGATCTTTAGTCGATATTTCAGGTTGATTGAGGTGTTTTGTTGTTGGTTGTCAAAAATATGATCGAAAAGAGGAGATAATGGCCAATCGAAAATTGGATCGTCTAAGAAAGATGGCATTGCAATGAAAACTTATCTAGCTCAAATCGGTGCAAACTTAATGCTGAGATCGATATTGAAGTTTGAGTTTGAATAATGAAAACGAGTTCTACAAAAATTGAACTCTTTGATTGAAATTATAACCAGAATTGAAATATTAAATGAGACTATTTTAATCGCCTCTAATTGCCGAAAATTGAAGAAAATTTGATATTAAAGAGTGAGCCTTTTCCTTATTTTCAAAGTCTTTTTCATCATTTCCCAGTGAAATAGAAGCTCTTAATTAGTTGAAAATAAAAAAATTGTTAACTTCAAACACTTTTTCCATGCTTTTTCACCTGATTTGCAAAATAATCTGACAATTAGGCCAACTTGCACTGCAATTCAAAAAATATAAATCTTTTATGTTTATAAAACCTAATAAAATGAACAAACCTTTTTCTGTATTCATATTGCGTTATTTGATGTCTGATTTCATGATACTTTTTCATTCTCGGCGAAACAAGGCGATGCAGTGAATCAATCTAACAATTCATTAATCAGCACTGATCTTTATTTGAGTAACTAATCGATATTTCTAAGATGCTAAATTGTTCTTGTTACTGTTCAAGATGCTCATGCTTGACTATCATGCACGTTGCAAATGTATCAAATAATACAGTTTGATGCAAGTTTCACTTGTGTATCAGTGGTGAGATCATCAGCTATTTCAACTCATAAAATCAGAAATTTTTATGGACTTAACTTGTGATGAAGACTTTAAATATAATGATAGGGAAAGATTCAATAATAATCTTAATAATTGGTGAACTAAACTAAAACAGTTCAACAGTTAATCCAAATGAGCTAATTTACTTAGCACATAAAGAATCAATAAATTACATTTACATTGAATAATCTTGTTCACTGAATATTGTAAAGAGCGCCAAAAAAGAAAAACTAGCGCCATCTTCTGATAATTAATACTATCTTATTTAACGGTTTTTAAAGAGTTTCAATTTAATTTCGTAATCTTGACCAACTGATTGGACTTTACTGCTACAATGGCAACTATTAAAGCTCTTGCAATTTCAGGAAAATTGCCCGTAAATTGTTTAGTGGAAAATTCGTCTGTGACTTTCTTGCAACAGTGTTTAAAATATCATCTCTTTAACAATGTCAATGGAATCTATGCCTGATGATTGCTTATTACAGATTTTTAACATGATTGATGATCCGTTAATACTTTTTAGGTGCCTTCGAGGTTAGTATGCTTTGAAGATTTTTGGAAAAAGCTTCGTTTTAACTGTCTCAAAAATTATCAATGTTTCTTTCGATTCTCAATTCTCAATTTAAATATGAACTGGTTTGATAATAGTGTGCTATCATCACAGCTTGTATTAGGGAATGCAATTATTTTCAGTTATTCAGAAAATGGTCAACTCAATGAAATTTGAGACAATCGATTTGAAAATGTATTGAATATTTAACTAGATTGACTACAGCATTTTTGTTCCCTACACAGTTTGCAGAAGATGGTATCTTCTGCTCAGCTATCGTCTTGGAAGGGTTGAAAATCTGCTCGGTAAGTCGATTAACTGGAAAAAACGGCGGATAATGTTAATTTTTGATTCCTTACAGATTTGTATCATATTAAATGTAAACCCGGAGTTAAGTCTCTTTGTTTCGTTGGGAAGAAAAGACCACTTGAGGAGCCAATTTTATCAGCAATCTTAAAAAAAACACCTAAAATGAAGGTAATGTCAAATAAGTACAAAAAAAAGATATTCATTTAATTAACATTTGAATTTTAAAAACACTCAGGTAGTCTGTGTTGGGTTTGAATATACAGAATATGATAATTATGACGTAAACTGGGTGCAGAGGTCTCTCGATCGGCTCGCCCAACTAGAATCTCTCAAAGGACTAATAATAACTTACTTGACTAGAGTAAGAACGGTGAAAATTCCTGAAAATATTGAAATGCTTCGCACTGACGATACATACATCACAACAGGATTTTACCCTAGGGTCAAACAGCTGTTAGTAGACGATACTTTCTTCACTAGATCAATTAATCGTTTTCCTAGTTTAGAGAGGCTCAATTTGCTGATCGATAACCGTAAGACTTAACAACCAAACTCAATTTTCAATTCAAAGTAATTATTGTTTTCTATATTTGATTTTAGACCCATCGCATTGGTATCAAGTGGCTCGGGCTTACCGATATCTATTCAGAAAGCTAAAAATAATTGAAATTGATACGAGTTATGAAGAATGTTTATCTGAGGTAAATCATGCGTGTCAATTTATTTGTCTTTGCCCGAAAGCGGAAAGTGCCCATATCAAAATAGCGATTGACCAAACTGTTCACTTCACCCACTTCAGACATGAGAATCTAAAGAATTTAGTAATTACTTATGTAAGCATTATGTTATTATCTGTCCATTTGTACGCACCCATCGTATGAATCCAATCAATCTAATAATTCCAAATATTTCTTTAACAGGTTGATTATGAATTGATGGGCGAATATATCTCTAATTTATTTTATCTACTGAAACGATTCCCAAATGTTAAACATCTTGCCATTAAATACGATACGAGCTACATCCACAGGTAGTGTTTGACTATTTTATAAGATAATGAAGCTAACCTTTTCATCACACAAAAAGCTTGATTTATTAGCTCTTTTCAAGAAAGATTTAGAAATGCGTTTTCTTGTAATTCATTCGCCTTTCTGAAAGTGGTTAGCTTTGTAATATCGAAAACACAATTGCTCATTTTAATTTTATTAATGTCAAGTATAGTAATTGTACGTCGCCTGAATCTGATTATGATGAATTTAAACATGAAGATTTTGAAGCTGTTGTCGAAATAGTACCTGGTGAGGGAATTGAATTGCAAGAAGGAGCTGAGAATGGAGGAGATGAGAATGAAGGAGCTGAAGATGGAGGAGCACCCAACCAAAGCGAGAGACAAAACCCTCCAACAGGATCGGTTATACCCTTTCTAGTTGTTACAATGCTACAGAAATTAGTGCTACTAGATATGAGAGATATAACGGGAGTTGATGCAACTTCCGCCATGTACGTGCACGACTACTGTCAGCAAAAAGGTCGATCGATCAAGTTCTACTTTGGTTACAGTGACGACAGTGTGGTTAAACGCGATTGGCCTGAATTATTCAATGATAATGAGCGAGATGGTCAAGAATTCAACTTTATGAAACATTTGTTCCTTCCAGACTATAGGAGAACCCCTTTCTTTTTGGAACCATACTAACCTAAGTTTAAAAACGACAAGAAAATGGAATGGGTCAAAAATCATTGAATTACAATTTTTCCCCATTAATTTAAATAATCAATAATTTTGGCTATGGTAAACATAATTAACTCTCTACAGCCAGGCCAAAACTTCATAAACATTTTTCCATAAATTTTCAATAATCTTCACATCTCAATCTTACCTGATGGTAACTGTTCTTATGGCAACATCACAATCACCCTTTTAATTGGGACAGGCTCTCAAAATGAAAAAAAACAAATGTCAATGACAAAACAAGGATTGAAATACCGATCCTAAGAAGCTGATTATAACGTAAAAATTTTGACAAAGATTTTCTTATGCTGCCATTGGACAATGATTAACTACTCTTTATTTATTTTGATATTTCGTAAACCAATAGATATTGTATATTACTATTGGAATTATTCATTCATCAATCTTTCGTGGTCTAAAGTGACCAGATGTATTAAAAACGATTTAAAAAAGTGCATTAAAAAAATTTTCATTTCGAAATGTGATTATTGTTTCAAGCAATTTAATGTTATACTAAGGCTTGTTTTAGGTGTGTATCCATTCAACAATATGACATTAATTTAATGGGGAAAAAGATCGAGTAAATAATGAAATTAATGTGAATAAATAAATGTACATGAAATTGGAAGTTATCGTTGAACTGGATGAAGAAAGTGTTGCCTTGAAAACAAGTTCACCATCTGATAATATTTGTAAACTTGCAACTTCCTTTGATAAATCAAAAGATCCCGATTTACCTGAAATTAAAACTGGCTGAGACCATAAACAGTCAAGCTGATTGACTGATTGTTCGTTTAAAAATTGACCAACATCTTCTGATCCAGTACGAGTGATCAACTGAGCCGACAAATTATTAAACTGAAAAAGACAATCAATGGTTAATTGTTTTGCTTTGGAGCTTCCAAATATTACACTTAAGGTGGCATTCGGTTGTGAACTGCCAACAGCTTGAGCATAATAGCTAAATAAATCCTTTGTTTGCTTTGTAAACAATTGATAATCATTGTTGCCATAGAACAGGTTACAACATTTAAGGTACTGCCTTCGATAAAAGGGGATTTGGCTTGTATCTGAAGCAGCAACATAATTGCTACCACCATAGCGTAACTCAACTCGCCACATGTTGTCGTTGAACAAGTCAACTGGTTTCCCATTGGCCATTGGCCATGCTGGATCACCCATTGAAAGTGACCAAGTGCAGCTCAAATCACCGTTAATATAAGATGATGAACCAGACTCGATTGATTGGCTATCCTGGTTAACTTGACTTGTTGCATTACCTTGAGCATTTTTCTTGCACAAATAGACAATTTTGGTAGTCGATTTAACCAGTTGAACAGCTATATTCCACGGAATGGTTGACATGACATTTTTACCGACAAGAGACATTTCAATTTCGGTCGATTTGAAGTCGGTTCCATTATCGATGATGTTGAATCTAACTTGAACCAAAGTATTTTTACTGCAACTCAATGAACCATCAGTTGCCACACAAATAGTTTTGGATAAACACTGATCGTTGCACCCAGTTCCAGCAGTTTCAATTGATTGTAAACCAAGAGCCAAAAAAATGAACAAAAGTAACATTCTGGATTTCACTGTCGAGATGATTGTTTTACATATAACTTCATTCATCAACTGAATCAAGTGAGACATTTGTGGTTTGAATAATCAAAACTAAATATTTATATAACGATTATTCTGTTATCAAATTTTATTACATTTCAACAATTGAATGACTAACACAGTGATGATCAAATAAAGTTTACCTGGAAATATGAATATCAACAGTTTAATGGTATTTTTAGTTTCTTCAAATATTCCAGTTCACATGGTTTCTAATAAAAAGAACGGATATTAATCAGTTTTAATCAGTTACTCATTTTGATTGTTGCTCGTTGATTACATCGTTATCTCAATAGGTTCATCAATTTTGACAAACTGATTGACTCAAGTATATTTTTCAGTGATTGAACAAGGTTAGTCTATTGCCAGTGCATTAACAAGGTAAAACAAGGTTAAAAAAGAATGAACTTAATCTTCAGAACAATCTTCAATAGAACAATTGTTTAAAAATTTGCACAATGGTTTCAATTTGATCATTTAAAAATAATGAATCAGACTTTATGGAAATGCAGAAATGAATAAATCAGATATTTCTGTTAATCTAATCATGTAATAATTACACAAGTGGTTGAGAAGGATGTAAGCACCTAAGAAAATAACATTTATGGATTATCATCATCCATTGGATCCATCAGGTGAGGAAGATGCCAATACTGTTTGAGAATGTTACACACTTGCGTCACACACGGTTCTTCAAATTGACCTGAATAGGAAATACAATAACTTGTTATGAACTGAAGATGAACAAGTAGTCCGTTTGGAAAATCTTGCATAAGCTATGTTTCATTTTTGTATTATTAATATTATTATATTATTATTAATACATAAAAGACACAAATCATAAACATTAGAATAGACAAAATTTCGGTAAAATAGACAAATTTTCATTTGAATGGAAAAAGTTGAAAGGTCATTTGTCGGTAGTGCATTTGAGAAGCAATAATATCACAATAAAAGATTGAGGATGAACAACCTGATTATAATCTAGGGTTAAATTGCTTTGAAATAACCTTATAACAAAATCGATATAATAAATTGAGTTATTCAGAGACAAACTTATGGTTCTATTGTAACAAATTCACAAGTTCATTTGGAAGTGCGATGTTTTTGTGTCAATACGGTAAAAAAAGCACTTGAATTGCCATCATTCAAGAAACGAATTGAATTTAAACAGCTTATCACAATGATGGAGCTTCAAATCATAAAATATTTTTACTAAAATTGACATAAACACACAAAAATCCTTCTCTTTGGATGTTTCACCAATGTTCGGTTCGTATGACTGACAGAGTTAGATATTTAGATTGTTAGATTTTTACATGTTGATTGTAATCGACTCTGTCATGTCATCTTTTAATTTGAATTAACCCCTTCAGACGATCTTTGACTCTGATTATATTTTCGCTATTCTATCTGCTGTCTCTTGATCATTTTGATGCCGTTCAGAATTTTTCTACAGCTTGGTTTTCTTTTGTGCTGTTCATCTAAATTTCATACCGATAAAACTAAAATAGTTTGAAGGATTTATCAACATTGGATTGGAACAAACATGGATTTAAGGAATACATTTAAGAAATGGCTAAATTTGGATCTTAATCTAGTCAAATATTTCAAGTTTTCCACTTTTCGATTCATTTTCATCTCTAAAGTCAAACTTTATTTAAAAAATAGTGTTTATTTTATTTTCATATTAACAAAAAGGCTTGAAACTTTAGAAATGCTTGTAACATTTCATTTTTCATCTAAAAATTTAGTTTAAAACTGATCTACTTCAGGTATTTTCATTTTCTTTCCACCCTCATCCATGTACCAAGTACTAATGGTCATTTTGAGCGGCTTGAACCGACTCGAGCTATTTACTTTTAACTCGCTTCAAGTATGTGAAGAGATAGCTGGCTGACTGGCTCAGTTTGGCTAGTTTTGGTATCTAATAAACTTAACACCCACGAGATGGCAGGCAATATGCATCATTTTGTGTCGTCTCATAATTGCATTTGTTTCCTAAATTTGGGCAATTTCCCTGATTAAATTAATTCTGTTTTTATTTTGTTTAAACTTCTTCAGGTGAAGTTGAAACTATGATAGACAATCTTCGTTCACAGCGCGAGACCGGAAAATTTTGTGATATTGTTCTACATGTTGGAGGAAAAAGATTTCCAGCTCATCGATCTGTTTTGGCTGCTTCCAGTCCTTATTTTGAGTCTATATTAAGACATGATAAAGTAGCTCGAGAAGAAATTACAATTGGATGGGAAGATGTTGAAAGTTTTCAACTTCTTCTCGATTATATGTACTCTGGTAATGTGACCATCGATGAAAATAATGTCAATGGTTTGCTCCGGTTATCTACTCATTTTCTTATCTCCAAATTACAAGGATACTGTCAACAGTATTTAGAACAGACTGAGTTTAACTTTGAAAATGACAATGATAATGAAAATGGAGATAGTAATATGGATGGTGTTACTATTAAAGAGGAGCAATCACAAACAGATGAGGTTACCGGTGAAGAAAATGATGAAGATGATGGGGGACATTCAGCAAATAAAAGCAAAAGGAGGAAAGTTAAGCGCAAATATACGTCCGAAGAATGGATCACTGATGAAATATCTGTTTCTAAACGTCTTTCTCCGGAGCAAACAGGTGAATCTCGAAGAGCGGTAGCGTCAATTCAATCAGGGGATGAATCACTTGCTCTCGATGATTCAAGTCAAGAGCAAAGACAGTGGAAAGAGGGTATCAAGTGTCCACACTGTATTTATGTTGGTAACAGTGCAACTAGGCTTGAACAACACTTGTCTAGAGTTCATGAGGAAGATACAACATATAAATGTCGCTTGTGTGATTTTACATGTAACTGGAATCGAGAATATTACCGTCATATGAAGTGTCACTATCGAGGTCCACCATTCAAATGTGAAGACTGTGAATACACATGTGATCGTATCCAATTTATTTTGTCTCATGTTATGAGACATACCGATGAAAGGCCTTTCCAATGTAAAATGTGTCCCTTCAAATCACGAACCAAAGGAAACTTGGAGGTGCATATGAGGATTCACACTGGAGAAAAACCTTACAAATGTCAATTCTGCGATCGTGGTTTTGCTATGAAAAACACTTTAGATCAACACTTGGCTACTCATCGAGATGATCGTCCTTTCCTATGTGATACTTGTGGTTTCACTACGAAATACCAATCACATCTGCTATCGCACAAGAGAATCCACACAGGGAATGTTTTCCACTGTACCCATGAAGGATGCAATTATTTTTCACCACGACGATCACAACTTGCAGCTCATGAGAGAAGTCACTCTTCAATTCGATCACATATTTGTGTAACATGTGGACGTGGTTTCATCGAAAAGAGTCATCTCATTCGCCATGAAAGAATACATCTTGAAGACAAACCATTCAAATGTGATGTTTGTGATTATGAAAGTACTCGAAGAGATAAATTGAAAGAACATGTTCTAAAGCATCATTCGGGTGATGCAAAAACTCCCGCTTCTTACAAACCAAGAAAAACTCGACGACAAAGTCAGGTTACAGTTGTTGAAGAGAGCTCAATTCCTGAGTTATCTGACAGTCAGCTAATTGTTACAACACCAGGAGAAGTTCAAATTGCTGCTTCGGAACAAGAAGTGGCTACAGCAAATCTCATTTATGAATATCAATCAGACGGTGGGACACCCATTAAAACGCTTGTTATCCAAAACATGGAAAACGAAGGAGAATCTTGTTTCTTACAACTAGCTCCATCTTCCTAATCTCATTATAGTCTAAACTTTGTTAATCATTTAACCTCTCTAAACATCTATGACTATGTCAAAATTGTAATCATGAACTAAAGTAATCATTTTAAATCTTCCGAATAACTATTAATAGTTACTGTATATTTGTCAAGTACATCATATTTGAGCTCTTTAATTTAAAAACATCCCGTTGACAAGTTTTTCACTTAAAGGGCATTGTGTTATTATATTCATACATGAGATTCATTTTTGAATCAAATAAATATACAAATTGTTACCTTTGAACTTGCAGCTAACACATTTTTTTTATTGACTAATTACTAAACTAATTTTGAGAGTTTTTGGATTGATATTGGAAGAAAATTGAAAAAAACCAATTTATGATTACAGAAATCGAATCGAAATTCGACCGAATGTAAAATTAAATGAAAGGATGTTGCGTGCTATTCCTGCCAATCATTAGGGGTACAGTGAGATCCCAGATAATGAGACTACTGTAGAATAGCTTATTTTCACTATTCAGCGAGCAGCTAATTATTACATATTGATATCAGTTAGCGTCAAATCGCTTAATTATACAGGGGCGTCTAGCCTCATTATTTCCTGGACAACCGATATATTAAAATATTGTTGTCTTGTTTTGGTTTTCGTTCAAAACTCATCTAAGCATTAGCTATGAACTTGAGAATTGAATGACATGATTAAAAAGGTTTTTCCAGTTTCTCATTAGGAATTACGCACTGATCATCCTTTTTAATCTCTTAATTAGTTATTTAATCTACATTTCTCTAGAAAAATTGTTACTCATTATCATTTCAATCATCAAATTCATGAGGATTGTTTTTAAAGATATTTAAACTGATTTGTTTTGTTGCTTGATTTATGACTAACCTATCTATTTATTTAGGTAAGTTTATTCAGCAAAGAGTAATTCAGTCAATGCAAATTTTTAAATTCAATGTCCGGATCTTCAGTTAAGCGCTAAAATACTGTACAAGACTCGACTTAGCTTTTATTGACCAATATTAATGAATATTGCTGTATTTTTTATTATTTAACATCAATTTCTAGCACAATACATGGGGTAACGATAGTTATTAAATGTACTTTCAAATGATGAATAGCTTAAATACTTTACGAAAACTAAAAATGCTGTTGCTATTTCCACACAATTTATCAGCTAATCAGTACTTGAATGTGTTGTCTTAAATAAAAGCTTTTATCAAAGCTCTGGTTGACCGATTTATAGACAAGCAAAAAGCCGTGTTTTGGTCGAGGTATGAGTTGCTTAGTGGTCGTCTAACAAGGGAGGGGACCCACCTGGTACGATTTGATTTGGTAAATTTCATGATGAATCGATGGAAAAGAGTTAAAAAAGATGTTTGGTGACCTGCAAATTTTCGCTTCAATTTTTATTCCAATTTTAAGTCTAATTCAGACCTATTGTAATGAATTGAAAATGACAAAAACAAAGACATTCCACAACAAACTAAACAAAATGAATGTTAGTCTCAACTTGAGAATGGCAATTTTTCATAGTTTCAGTTCATAACAATAGGTCTAATTGAACTTAAAATTTGAATAAAAATTGAAGCGAAAATTTGCAGGTCACCAAACATCTTTTTTAACTCTTTTCCATCGATTCATCATGAAATTTACCAAATCAAATCGTACCAGGTGGGTCCCCTCCCTTGTAAGTTGTTATAAAAAGCCTTTCCACTTTTTACAAAATTGAGTTTACATGAATTTAGAAAAAAATATGAAAAATTATTACGGGGAAATGAGTTAGAGTATATCATTCTGCTTCGAAAACAAATTTGATGATTTTTAGAGCGAGTAAAGGTATGATTAATCTAATTACAATATCAAATGTAAAAATCTCTGATTGAGAGCTTTAAGACATTACGATTAATAAATGAATTTTGAAAAGGTAAAGCTGAAACATCAATTGATAATCAATAAAATAACTCATATATTAATATAATTAAACTTTGAATCTTGATCACTTTACGTTTATTTTATTGCTTTGGCTTTAAATTAAAAAAAATTAATGAAATTTATTTATTAGCTATTTGTTAACAAAGTGATGAGATTATTGACTAAAATGCACCAAGAAATTAAGGCAATTATTCCTAAAGATCCAAGGTGGCTTCCTCGACCACAGTCATGTTTAGAAATGTTGAATTCCTAGATAAATGAAAAGAAAAATTTAAATATTAAAATTAAAAACTGTGCAAAAAAGATTTATGGTAACTTGAAGTTTTGAATACAGAGCAGTTAATGTTCAGCTCATCTATTGAATATCACTTAAACCATTTAGGATACAGATTTCCTTAATATAACTAGGTTTCGGCTTGATTTTTCAATCATTTTTGAAGCATTCCAACCTCTGAGTTTTATTCAGCGCCATTTTATTTGATTAGGTACTTTAAATTCACTTACATCGTTAGCAACAAATAGAATTCAAGTTTGATTGAGACTCATTATTGGCATATTGTATCGATATTTGACAATACAATGAATAACTTCATATAAATGTCAGCAATAGTTGAAAGAGAATTGCTTTTTGAAAATGATCGCCATCTCCTTAATAGATGACAGATCTAAAATCAAAAATGTGTTTGAATAAAACTCATACTTGGAATATTTCAACTAAAAATTAGCTTCATCCTGAACATATGCCTGTGAAGTGTGTTGTTTATTTACCTTTTTGTGGAAGTCAAAACAAGATTCAGGGCGTTTTCGTTCAAATTTGCGTCGATTGTTAAATTTTTCACATGGATTTTTGGATTCATAATTAACCTCTTTACGGATAATTGATTGTCTTTTAGGCGATGATGGACACTGATTGTGAGAAACGAGGAGAATCAAATTTGTCTGTGGAATCCATTGGACGACATAATTTCTATACAAATAAAATGAGAAAACGAAAAGAAAGTTTTTAAAAGATTGAATTGATGGACTGCATTCAATAGTACTCACTGTTCACATCCATCCTCTAATGTATAAGTACGGGAAGTTGGATCTGAAAATTTCTTCAAATTTTGAGCTTCATAAAGATAATAAAACTTATCACACGGATAAAATGTTGTTCTTGCAGGAGCAATCAAATTACCAGCGGAATTGTTGAAGTAATCGAGACGTGCTTGCCTCTGCAGGTAACTTGTATCATAATCAGAGGATAAAAAGTAATCAGCAAAAACGTGTGAATAATGGTTTGTCCAATCAATCGTTATAAACAGTTTAATCATGCTAAATACAAACTGGCCAATTATCCAGGTGATAAGTTGCTTGATCCGATCTAAGGTAGACCATATTGATGAAGCTGCACTTCGACGTTCGCCTTCAGAAATACAAATGGCTTGATAATCATAAATGCGTATTTTAGTGTATAGACCAATGTCGATTAAATCGGTAAACAAATCATTGTCTAATTGTCCATAAAAAAGTCCTGTATAGTGAACAAGGCCATCGGGATCTTGCCAATCTCGATCAGAGGTGATAATATATCCATTGTTATCCAATAGAAGGCAATCAATTTCACTGGAATCACAATTAATAAGACAGTTGTCTCCGGTACAAATTGAAGAGGATCGTAGGAAGGCTTCAGCAAAAGGTTTATAAGGTATTCGACCCAATATTGAACCAACCGGAACATCAGTAACTTTTGAATTCTTAGAGGCCAAGAAAATTGCTTTTGAGACGGAAATATAAACATCTTTAATATGTTTACCGGTTGAAACAAGGTCGAAGGGAACTGAAAATAATAATGAAGATTCCTTGTACCGAGTTGCAAATTCAACTGATCTCTGGTAAAATTGCTCATCAATTGAACGATCTGGAATAAAATTATCTGGTAAGTTTGATAAAGACAAGGGGTCATCATTTGGGTACAATTTAACTCGAGTTAGACCAGAGCGAGTCGACAAAAGTTTCATGATGAATTTGAGATCAGGTTTTCTGGAAAAAATAAAGATGAATCAAAATGAAATTACAAAATGGTTAATGTTTGTATATAATTTTAAATTATGAGTCTAAATTATCATTGATTTCATGAGTTTTCTTGATTGACACAGTTAATTAATGAAATTGAAATGAAGTTTTATTATCATATACCTTTCTACACAGAGACATTGAAAAAATGAAGTACATTTCCTAACTGATGGATGCTGTATAATCAGAAGATGCCGCTAGAATATCTTTTTTAGAATTTTCTCTTGTGAACAAACAAAACAAAGTAACTCATTCAATATCTTTGCAACTCATTTACTTTAACTGTTTGAAACAAATTATATTACAAAATAAAATTGTCGCTTCAACTTACCTTGTAATATTCGATTTACATTGATCAAAGTTGATTTTCGTGAATTTAGCATCGTAGATCAGTCTTTCAATTAGCTCACGATCACCTAAATTGAAAAAGATTATTTTAATAACATTATTTACATGATGATGGTGGTATGATGACCATAAAAGCCTGTAACGACTTTAGCATCAACCATTTTAATGATTTCAAGTAGTCATTTGAAGATCTCTTACAGAAAAATGGCTTAGTTGAAGCGATTCCACCCGCATTTGTTTCCAGCGACCCAATCCAATCAATTGCTTTTTCACCTTCATCTCTCCACCGATTGAGAAACATTTTTATCATAGATGCAGGATTGATTGATTTATTTGCCGGATCACCACGATTTCGAGGATTTACATAGCAATATACCCAGTCTGGGTGAACATACCAATCATTTGCTGCGAAATATTGGTTAAAATCAGGGGAACTTGTGGCGTCGATTTGACCCTTGATTGTACTTAAACCATAAGTTTCAGGAAGTGCAATGGCCATAATAAATGGTGTATCATCAATAGCAGTCCAACAATATTTGTTTAATCTTGTCAAACCTCGATTCTGTAAGCAAGACAAAAATGGGGGGAAAAAATAAAGTCAAATAATGAAATGGAACAATGACATTTCCATAAAAATGTCGAGAGTATTTTAACTGGAAGTAAAGCTTCAAAAATTTAACATCGATTTCAAATTTTAGACCTTAGTGAATCGATTTTTGTTTGTATAACTATTTGTAATATTATGGTCACATATAACAACACAGAGACAATCTTTTAAGAAGACTAACACACGAAGAGGAACCCATTAAAATTGAAGTTATCAACGATTGATCACTACAAAAGAAAACTTGTCCACCAATTCAACATTGAGACTGAACATTGGTTGTTTTTCAGTTAATGATGATGATAGCGATAATAATATTATATAACTTATATCCATTGTATACGATTGAACTGATTTGCTGAGACAAGGCAGACGAGAAAAAAGAGGGAAAAGGTTTAATAAGAGCAAGTCAAGATTGCTGATTGATGAAGATTAATAGATTAATAGCATGAAATTGTGAATATAAACGTTCAACAAGGATGAAATCAGAAGTTTATAGATATGAAAAATGAAATAATACACCTTGGATAAAATTAAATTAAAATGCGACAATGTTAACTGTTAAAGTTGAATCATTGTACTTTTATCGTATCTCAATCCAAATGGACAGATACATGTACTACTTGGATCCATTAAGTATCAATAGCTGATATTTTGCCGCTAATTATAAATTATTAACTTAATTTTCAAAAAGAATCAAAACTTAAAGTTTAGATAGATTCACCAGAATAAACAATAAAATAAGAATAACTTTCCCAGCAGATTGTATTCAGTAGCGATTGATATTTTTGATCATTGTCTATAATTGTGAAGTAGACAGACAAATAAGACCATTTATTTTGGAAAAGTTGAGCATTTCAAGTTGAAATACAATCATTGGGTCTTGTTGATATAAAAATGGAAAATCAAATTAAATAAATAAACAATGATGATATTAGATGGTAAAGTTAACGGACAGGAAGGTTAATTTCTTTATATCGCTGGATGACCAATGTTTATCCACTTTGACAGTCTTTGTTTTGATTGTCCGCAAGCCTTTTTTAATAGTTTTGTTTACCATCAACAAAACGTTTCTCGGTATACACACACATGATAAGCATTGAGGTTTGAAGTGAGCCATGTAATTTCATGTGAAATTGTACATATCAGAATGTTGTTGGGTAAAAATTGAAATGTTATTGATATGGTCTCGGGCCTTTTCAAAAGTAATCTTGTTTAATCTTTTGTTGAGTTGAAAGTCAAAACGACATGAGGATGAGCCCAAGAAAATAGAGGAAACCAAGAAATGGAAATAATATTGAAAAAAACAAAAATGTCATCCAAATGTCAAAATAATAAGCAAATATTTGAAATCTAATAATAGCATGAAAGAAAAAAAAGAGAAAGTAAAAAGTAAAATGATTAATATTGTAAGATTGAATATATTTGAAGCAAATTTCAAAAGTCGATCATCATGTATCATCATGTAGATTACGTGTTTATGTTTAAATTAATTATTTGGTAGCATTAAAGGCTCAATAATTTCCTGTCAGAAAATATTTTTTTGCTTCAAAATCTACAAACCTTAATATAACTAGCCGTACGATTATACAGAAATTCATTGTTGTTATCATTGAGTAACAGCCAAAATCCAAAGTAATATTATGATTGACATTGAAGGGTAATAACAATAATTACTGTTGTAAATATTAAGAATAATTCCATTCCATCATTCCTCATTAATTATGGATAGTTTTGCCAGTTGCAAGTCTCATATATGGTTAGGCAAAAGTGTGAGTGAATCACAAGTTTTGGTGTAATTCCTTCAGAGATTGATAAAAGAGATGAATTCATTGAAATCCATACAAGAGATGATAGACAAAGTCATGAACTGATAATGATATTATGCCATGTCAACAAGGTAAAAGTCAATGTTACTTTTTATCAGCCCACATCAAAGATTAAACTCTATTGCTTTGTTATTGTTGTTGATGTTGGGAAATGTTAACGTTGAACGTGGTTAGAGATGTTTGAGCTTCAATAACAATCAGTTAATCCGGTTATTCAATTGTAAAACAGATCAAACAATAATCAGATTGATTATTTGTGAGTTAACCATCGTAATCAGGATAGACCAATAGAGAGAAACAGAAAAGGTGAGAAATAATGAAATTCAATGTGCAGTACAATTTCAGTTATCCATTGAATGAAATATCTTTTAGTAACATTAGTTTTCTATTTATCACCTTTCTTGTCATCATCATCACCATCATAACAGAAGTAATAATAATCACCATCATAATCATCATTTATTTCATTCGTGGTATTAGGTATTTGTCGGAGAAACGATTTATTGAAACAACATTGTTTCACCAAACCATTTACTCCATCTTCAATGTAATTCCAGTCAATTCATTTTTGCCCATTAAACACACCATTGGTAAGTTATTTGACAAAAAACTTTGATTATCCAGCGAACAAAGTTTATTGGTCAAAATCCTTTTAACATCAGGCAAAGATTGGAGAAAATTGATGGCTGAAATCCACATGTGACCTTAATAAGCCAATATTTTAACCAAATTAATCAAGAATATTCAACAACACCTGCTTCTCAAATCTTTTAAATTTCCAAAAAAAGGCTCAAATGTATCAGAAAGGGTCCATCACAGGCAAAAAACGGATATATCCAAGCATGAATTAACGACAGTTGACAATTAAGTGGACATTAGACAATTTTCCCTCTACTCCGTCTTTTGTTATGAATTGTAAAGATGCAATAGATGAATGCTGACAAAGCAAAAAACCAACCTTTCAATGTAAACCAAAGATTTGTAACAAGCAACCTTCACGGTAAATCACATTGCAGATACGATCAGACGATGATTTATTAACTGATTAACTGTTAATCAGAAACCAATTCAAACAGTATAATGTGGTTGATTAATCATGTTAAGAGCTTAGTTTGAGCACCATGTTTAAAGATTTACAGATATTTTAAGATCAATCCTTGGAAGAGCGGGATTTAATATCTTTTTTTAATTAATCCTTTCTTTCGTAAGATGGCGACGGTGAGAAGCAAAAATCTTTGATTACTGTTTATGATTTTGTTGATGAAAGCGATTTATAAACTGATTTATCTGTTTATTGGTGTATTAATTTCTGAATATTCATTTAGGTGACAAATAATTGTTGGAGATAATATTAATGTTGGAACTTGCAGTTTCTCAAATTTCCCATCATTTGAAATGTGAATAACTGCCATCAAATTGTCTTATATTGTCAATGAATTTGTGTACATATAATTTGTGGTACACTTACAATATATCATGTTATTATTATTGTTATTATTCGTGCTGTTGGTGATGTAGTTAGGTTAATGTTATATCAGATGACCAGATGAAAGGAACCAGAAAAAGATCCAATGACTGATGATAATAGTTATTATTTTAGCCTTTCAATGATAATCATCAACTCAACTGGAGTTAATTGTCGTTCAATTTGACAGTACCAAAAGGAATGGGACAAAGTTTGATCATTTTACACTGTAATTGGAAAGGTTTGTACTCATCTGTTTGTTATTATAAACATAATGGACCAATTTGACAATTGATTGGGCTTGTTGGTCAAGTTAAACTAATGTCTATTCAAGCCATTTCAATGTTGAAACGCAAACATTTGAAAGTGTATGCTGTGTATATGTTTGATTAATGATTGACTATTTTGTTAATCTGCTTTGTTAAATTGTCGATTTGCATGTTAAACAATGACTGAAAGACTATTAACCAAATAACATTTAATCCAAGATAAAGGTAAGTGAATAAAATGTCGTCAAATGGACAAGATTCATTTTTTTCTATTTCCATTGTATGTTAATAAAACATCTTTTAAGTGAGGATAAAATTGTCATTTAAGCTGCGTTTTCCCATTCAACTGTAATCATTACAATTATTGATTAATCATTCCAAAGAGACTAAGACATAAAATTAAGATTAATTAGCAGCAACAATAGACTGATGATGATGAGCTAACAATAAATTATGTTAATTGGTGCATCCAAGGAAAGAGTATCAACTTACTTTGGGTAATTGTCAATGTATTAAAACTAATCTCATTTTCATTCCAACTCTTCTCTTACCATTAATTAGCATAATTATAATCATTGTCAGTTGAACATTAATTGTAAACTTGGTTAAAGATGGAACAAGAAAAGAAGCAGCAAAAAAAGAGCAAAAATTGAGGTGAAAAAACATGAAAACTCAATTGTTTCAATCAATGTTATTGTCAAAAATGAAAGTATTTTTAGCTTTAAAAGCTCAAAGATATTGAACAGAAAGCAAACAATTAACTTGATACAAATAGCAACATTAAGCTGGTAAATGAAATCAGTTGAAATGAAAGTTATATCAACAATGAAATACATAATTATCTGATCAAATGGTGAATCAATGTGTTAATGATTCATCTTTAGAGAATCATTAAGGCTCAGTATAATCATGTAATTGAACCTGGCTCATGAGAGTTGATTTTTCAGGGTAAAATGAAAAGAAAACAAGAAAAAAGGTTAACATCATTAACTGTTACGTGTTAAATTTGATCCGTTTAAATGAATTGATGGAAAACAATTTAAAGGAAAAAAAAAGTTTCAATCGATTTGATTAACCTTGTTCAATCTAATTCTTTGCCTTTCAACTGAATTTGCTAACCAATTTTCACTTTGAACATCATTTATCTAAAGATAAAAAGGCGCTTTTCGATCACATTTTTCATTGAAATGTTGAAAAGTATCAATTTAATGTGCAAAGTTGACAATTGAAAGGAAAAGTAATTCATTTCATCTCCATGAATAACCATGATTACGATTGCCATCAGTGCGATGCTCTTTTCTTCTCTTCTTGTCACAATGATTGTGATGATGATATAATAATAATAATAACTAGCAGCATCATCATCATCATAACAATCAACATCATCAACAACATGAAAAGATCTGTGAGTAATCTTTTGGAAACCATTAAAAGAACCGAATGTTGGTGATGGATATTTTTCTTCTCGTTCAGATGTATAAATATATTACAACTATTTACAAATGCATGCGAAATCGATGAGGAAAAGAATGGAGAAGAAAATCATGTTCATCTGAATCTGAATCCAATTGATTCAGGTAATTGATCGAAAGTCACTTGTACAAGTTTAGCCTTTCGCCTGTTCAAATGGAGAACCCATTCAACGATTTATTAAAGAAGGTTGGAAAATAATTTCTTACAAAACTTACTCAGGGTGACAATTACAGGCAACAATCATTAATAACTCTTGAGATCTCATTTTTTCATCTAATCTTATTAGAATGGATTGCAGATGAAAAGCAAAAAAAGTTCAATTTTTCTATTAATTCCTCTTCTAAGTGAAACCAATTGGGAAACATTCAACCTCAAAATAATAAACTTTTCAATTGATAACTTTCATTTCAATTTCGAGTAAATTGTCTCTGATTGATTTCAAATATTTTCAATAAAATGTTCAAACTTTTACCTTTTTGAAATGAAATTTTTATTGAAATAAAATGAACCTGATTTACGATGAAATGCTATAGAATCAAAACTTTTTACGTAAATAAATCTGACTAATCAAAGCTTCAATCAGATGAAAATAAAACTCAATCAACTTGAATAAATATCAACCTCGAGAAATGCTCAAATCAATTGAAACCTTCAAATTAATCACAGTTTTTACAGACAATTTATTTAGTTCTAGCATTCAATTTGATCATGAGTTTTGTTCATGATTACACAGAATTTGCAGTTTTCTCAATCCAAGTTTACCAAATACTTTTTCTGTCTAAAGTAAATTAAAATCTTTGTCATTGGACTTGGACAATATAAAACATTTGCATTCTGATGGATTCTTAATTTAGACAAGGAAATAAGTAAATAATCAGCGAACTATAAACTATAAATTCTGTGATCAAAACAATGATCAAACTCGATAATAAACTAAACGCTAAAATCTAATAGATTTGCTGAATGTTCTGCTATTCAATCCCAAAGTACTTAAACTACCAGACAAAATGTTATCCAAATAAATCTTGTTATTTTGTTGATTTTTTGTCCTTTGAAGTTAATTTTGTACAATTCAATTCCAATCTCCATCGACAAATGTCGATATGAACTTACTATAATAACTTTTAATGCATCTTAAGATGACAAGCATATTGAAGGGAAATGTTCAAACAACAACAATAAAGAAGACTTAAAGTTACGTCACAAATGCAACGAACAAAGTGAGCGACTCGACTTGGTAAGAAATAAGTCGAATAAAATCCTTGGCTTTTAAACTCGCCGCTCAACCCAACTCACCGCTCTACAAAAGTTTATTCAGTCTATGCAGTAAGTACGAACATTACAAAGTTTTAAAAATTCGATCGCAATTAGGTGCACCACAACTGATGCTAATTCAAATTACAGTAGTTCACATTCCATTCGTCATTCTGTATATTTCGTAAATCAATTGAATGCAAAAAGCATTCCCAATCTGTTTATTATTATGAAGTAAACAGAGCTCACCAGAGACTGTTCAAGTTAAACTTTAACCAAAGAAGGTAAAAGAAGAAGAAAAAATTTCTTTGTTTTACCAACTCAAGCAAATCCAATACATCTAAATATAATTCAGTGAAACGGATAAATAATGCAGAATTCAGTACTTCATTTTCATTCAATTACTCAAACATTTTGCTGTTTTTGAGGTTGAATAAGGTTAAAAAGTATCAAATGCAGAAGAATGCAAGTTTAACAGAAAATTTCATTTTTCATTTACTTACCATTGAATCGATGTGCAGTTTAGTTTTAACTGTGCGACAATCATTTTTACGGTAAATCATGCTTTTACGCATCTCAACCAAATCAGGACTGAATTGCTGTTGAAATAAAGAGATGAACATTTGATTAGCCAATTACAGAACCTAAGGCAATGATTTGCTTCAATAAAAACAATAAAACTGAATATTTACCCGAGCTTCCTTTTTATTATCACCAAGTTCAATCTCCAGAATATCAACTGAACTGTAATATGGTTTGAGAAGATTTTGAAACTGAAAAGATAATCGAAATGAGAAATTAATCGTAAAATTTGTTCTTCGAAATAACTTCACTTTTCGAAACTGAAATTTACAACTTTTCATCTTTTAAACTCGAAATCCATTCATTTTCAATCAACTTTTTTCTGTCAAAGATATTTAGCAATTCGAATACAAATATTTTGATAATTTAATATAACTTTGAAAACTTTAAAAGTTGGATTGTTTCATGAAATCCATTCAACTCTTGCAGTGTTTTAGTTATAATTGTAAGTATTTTTTAATTTCAACGTTTCATGATGAACATTGAAGAGATAAATTAACAACTTAACACATAATAATGGGATTTGCTTCTTGAAACTAACTTTTCCTTCAAGAATTTATAATTGAATTATCCAAACTCGAAAATTCGATGCAAATAGAATGAATTGTTTGAGTAAACCTTCGATCAAACTTGATTAATCAATCGACACTGAATGATTGATTGAATTGCGTATAAATGTACCAAGAGAAAAACAAATTTTAAAAATAAAAATGAAATCAATTTCGAAGACGAAATTAATGATATAAATTAAGAAAAGGATAATTAACGTTAATTGAATGACTGATTAACTCTTTTCCAAAGACTATTATTAACTTTTCAACAAATTGTTCAACTACTGAAACTGGTTAACTTTACATGGTAATTAACGATAAATAAGGTTTTCGATGAAAACGAACAAATGATAAACGATTTAATTTGATTTTTTCACTCAACTCAAACTCATTGATCATTTTGTGTTTGATTGGAACTAGCAATTAACTTTTAAAGATTTTTTATTGTTTCATTTGAAACACTGGAAAAGAACTGAAACAATTGACTAATAACTTGATTTCAATGGGAATCATGTTCTGGATGAAACATATCGGTTGAAAAGTGTTGGAACGAACACAATGCTAAGCATTTCTCTTGTGATTCTTTCTGATTTTGTGAGATAATAATCATCTTCTGATGATTATCATGATGGCTAAACGAGTTAAGTGAACATCTAATTTCCTGAGTAAAGATGAACAAGATTTTGGAACGGAAAAAAGTGAAGTTACGTGAAAATGATCTTTAAACATGAAATGAACATGATTATGATGATGACCAGAAGAAATGTTTCAAACTGCATTACCAGATTAAGAAACAAGATTGTTTTTCATTCAATTTCATCAATTAACAGAATCAGATTTTTACTGAAAAAGTATTGCAATTTCAAAAGAATATCAATTTATGTTTCATTCAATGATTACTATGCAAAGGAACAAGAAAAGTCTTTCCTGAAGAAAAAAGTTTATCAAGAAAATTTTCTTTTCTTTTCTTCATTTCAATTTATTTTTCAATTTTTCTTCTTCTCTGTTGTTCACAGAAAGTAATGAATTCAAATCTAATTGAAATCCAAAAGCTGTAATGATAAACTTTAAAGGTTAACTTTTTCTTCACTTTTCTTGTTCGCTCTGATATCTAAACAAGCAATCATTTTCATGGCACATAAAAGGTTGTAAAATTTTCTGCTAAACATGAACCATTCCATGATGAAGCTGAATGTTGAGAAATGTAAAAAGATTATTGTTATTACAATTTCTAGCATTGATATGAAAGAAATGAGAATTCAAAGTTTGAAGGAAAACATTGAGATAAACATTTCCCTTTATCCACAGTGTCATAACAGGGAGTGTTAAAGTATATAAATCAATCTTGAAAAGTTTCAGAAAATTGGTGACAAGAGAAATTCTGTTTCATGTGACCAAGTTTTGAGGGAAAATGGTAAATATTTAAACTTATTAAATCAAGGGAAATGCATAATTGACGGTGAAGTAAAGCTGTTTGTGTTTCATCATGAAATGAATATTGAACAGTTTAGTGAAGTTGAGTTGAATGTATTTATTACTTTTTTTGTTGCAAATTTTGCTTCTCCTAATATTTAAACATATTTTCATTCTTGGCTTACTTTCTCAGATTATCTGGTTCATAGGTTTGCAAGTTGAACTTGAATTGAATAGATATTACAACTTGGATTGACTGGGAGTTGTGATGGATTTATGAGTTGAAATACACTTCTTTTTTGCTTGTGAACCTCTTTACCAGGAAAAAGTGGAGAAAAGAGAGCAAAAACAAAAGGCTTTTCCTTCTTTTGATTCAATTTTTATTCCTATCTCAATCTCTCAACAGGGGTTATACCATGATATGAATTTTTACTTGTTTAAATGTGATGAAAGTTGTATAAGTTAAAGTAATATTCAGAAAGGTTGAGAAAGAGTTGCAATTGGGAAAGAAAAGTTTCTCCACTTACCAGAGTTCGAAGGTCTGGATGATAAAGTACAAAGCCATTATTGTTGATGCTAAATGAATATCCATTGACACCAATCTGAATATAGAATAACAGGAAATAATTGTTTCATTGATCAAACTGAAAAGCGTTTGAAACTCACCTTATAACTTGGAATCAGTTTTATCATTTCAGTTATTGGTATATCAACTCCAGCAACACCTAAAAGCTAATCAAGATAATGGGAAAGTTAAAGAAAAGGTTAGTAAAATTAAAAGCTTTAAAACAATCAAAGAGAAGCAAAAGATTTCTCATTTTATTTCAATTCTTTTTCGACTTCAATGGTTCAAAAGAATCTTTTTTCGATGGAAAAATGCTTCGAGTTTTTAGAACAAAAAATCGACTCAAAGATGACGCCAAAAGTTAATATGGATTTTGATAAAAGACAAAAACGCTTTAACATTGTTATGTTTGAAGCTTAATGGATGAGTGAAAGTTACAGTTTACTAGAGCATTGAGTCTTGTGCAAGACATTTCATGTTAACATGTTTAACCCTTTCACATTGAACGATTTATGAGATATTCTTGACTCTGAATTTGGAGACAAATTTTGAGCTAATAATTCATGCCAATGATTAATATGACAAAGAAAAAGAAGAAGAAAAGATGATGCTGAGACTGAAATGAAAATGATGATAATAGTTGAAAAGAAGGAAAAGTCTAAATGATATTAGAAGTTGAAATTCAAACAAAACTGTTACCATTATTATTAATACAATCATTTTCTTCTTTTCTTTCATATTTTTCTGTTTCTCTCAATTGTTTAGTTTCACTGCTTTTTCCATCTTCATCTTTGTCTATTTTTCGTTCAACATTTTCATTTCTTACAATTTTTACTCCAACTGAACTAGATTCAATAATAATGATAACAACAAGAGATCAGATGAACAGCAAGTTAACAAAGTAAAGTAACAACTACTATCATATTTAAGAGGACTAAAACAAGTGTCAACTTCAACTTAATATTCAATAATATTCAATATCTTTTCCTTCTTTCCTTAAAGTACGCTTTATGCGCCTTTTAAAAGTTTCCTAAATAAATGTTTACTCGAATCAAATCAACTGCAATCGACAAAAGAATTGCAATTTTATTCATCAGACTCGATAAAAGTTCGATGCAAAAAGAGATTCAATGTAACAAAATAAACTTCGAAATTGGCTAAGATTCAAAAGGCTTGACCCTGAACCAGCCAAATGGCCATGAAATGAGATCAGAAGCAAAACCATTTTAACTTTCAAAATGCTTGTATTCAAACGAAAATAGTTCAATATTTTTTGTTGAAATGCAAAAGGCTTCCCAAGGTTGGCGTGAGGCTGATTCAGTTCTTTCATTAAATCAATGCAATCAGTTCTAATTTTGCTCAACAATTCTTTTTGAGATTTTCTTAAAATCTTTTTTGCTTCTTCAACTGAGTTCTGATCGAAGTCATCTTCGAGTTCAGAAATTAGCATAGGTTCAGAGGTCTGATTATCATTTAATAATGAGAACTTGATAATTATTATTCTTGGGATTGATTTTAATATTCTGCAAGAGTGAAGCTAATTATTGACTGGAGTGGATGAATGACTCGAATATCACCGTTTCTTGAGTATAAACTAGTTTCGCTGTTGATTGACTCGAAATCAGTTTTACAATATTTCGATGAAAAAGGAGAAAATTTTGATCATCTACTGACCGGAAGGTAAGAATCTTCTTCCGGTTAACGAAGAACAGTAAAAGTGGTAAATAAGATCATATTTCATTCCATTTTAGATGACAGAGTTTACCATTGAGTCTCGATTAATCTTTTGATTGTTTACCTCAAGTTAAAAGGTTTCCAGATTGATCAACTATTATCTATGAAACAATAATGATAACAATCAAATATTACATTTCACCATTTATCATCACCATGAAGACATGATGGCGAAGACACTGAATGCTGTCTCATCCATGATTAAAGTTGATTAATGAAATCAAAGTTCAATATTAAGACGAAATAGTTGAAGTTATCCGACCAGAATGAAAGATTATTCAGTTTCTAGACTTTAAATCAAATATTAATGTAAAAATTGATGAACAACTAATGATTGATTATGTTGAGTGGAAATTGAATATGAAATTCATTTGTTGGAATTCATTTGATTATCTCGTTTAGATTAAATTAAATTTCAATTTAACCTAAACCCACTTTTTGCGGTTTCATTGATTGTCAGGGAACAAATTTCTTGGAATCATGAAAATGATGACGATAATAATATCAGTTATTGACAACTTAAGGCTATAATATCCGGTAAAATGAGGAAATCTTGTTTTTTATTTCGATTTTATTTTCTTTTTTGCTTTTTCTTCTTTCTTTTATTATTTTCTTTGTAAATTAAAGACTAGAATAGCTGAACCATTGAGAGTCGATTGCATTTGTATATCGAGATTTCAATGCATTTCAAGAAATGAAATCTTTTCAGGGAAGAGAAAAGAAAGAAGATGGAAAAAAGGATAAATATCCTTGAATTTTCTTTTCTTTTCTCTATTCACTTCTCTTACTGAAAAGTGGCTCAAATTTTATCGTTAGTTTTCAAGTTGGGTTTGTTGCTACTGTTGTTGTTGATACGATTGCTGTAAAGTCCATTGAGACTTACCGTTGAGTTTCTGCGATTCAAGACTGGAATTGCAATTGTTGTCATGAGATCAAAAGGAGGCTGAAGGAATGGTGAGAGAAAATGAACAAAAGAAGATGAGAAAATGGTAAAAGTAGAAACAAGATGATAAGGGTTGAGGAAAAGATGAGAATCGGAATAAGAGTTATTACAGGGGAGCGAAGAATAAATAACAGAGAGAAAAGAAGAAGAAAAATGTGAAGTAAATAGAAATGATGAAATTTGACTTGATAAGGTGAAATTTACCCGAGGCTTGAATTTTTCTTTCTTCCCTGAACCTTCCTCACTATAAGATGGCCCATTATTTGTACCAGATTCAGTCGAACCCTCCATTCGAGTTGATCCAGTTTCACCTGTTTTTGTTTCATCCTTGTTCCCATTACTCGGCTCATCACCTTTTTCAGTCTCACGGGTTTGCCTCAAAGGCACAGTATCATATTCAGTTGCTATCTTCTTCTCCAAATCATCTTCATAGTCTTTCTCTTCCGGTGAATCAATGGGATAAACGTTGTTTCCATCCTCACCTCGAGCTTCCTGTAATCGGTTCAATCGACGTTGATAAGCTTCTCGAATGTTGGTTCGTTCCAAAGCATCCCAGATCCATGGAGCTAAATCAATTTCCTGAGTAAAGAAGCATTCCAATTAATGAGCGAATAAAGACAAAGCAACTTGAAAAAAGTACAAAAATGTATCTTTTTTCATCTTATTTGTTGGTATAAGTAAATAAAGACAATTTGCAAAAACAGTTTGTCTCCAGGCTTTGTTATAAACTGATTCAAGGGAACATTGTTTTAATGTTTAACTTTTAAAACTAAATATTGATGATTTTTGTAAACTGTTTGCTTACAACGTTTAGCGTTAAATTGAAAGGTTTAAGTTTAGTTGAAGGAAATTGATGAAGTACAGAATGTTCAGTTCTGTTGTTTCAGTAATTTATCAAGTGAACAACAATCGGGTGTAAACATGTTTAGCTTGGAGTTGATCATTTGTTAAACTGATGAAAAGTTTGGTAATATTGATGAATTAAGATAAAGAAGAGAAAAAAGAATCCACAACAAAAGTCTAAAACAGGGAAACCAAATACGGAGGATTTTATCAGCTTTTCACTGGACACAAACATTTGAAGGAAGAGAGGATAAAAAGAGGATGAAAAAGATGAAGAAAATGAAAGAAGAAGAAAATTGAGTAATTTTCAGTGTTGAAGGTTTAACTTTTCATCATCCCAGTGGTTGAGTTTGAGATGAATTTTCAAGATCAAAAGGTAAGCCTCGGTGTTTCAATGGATTGATGTTAAGGAATCAGCAACAATATTGTATTAATCAAAAGTTTATCCAATCACATTGAAACACACACTTTGCTACACAATAATAACAACTTTTTATCATTTTTTTCACATCCATTTATCAATCAATTCAATTTCATACATTTTTCTTCTTTCCTTTCGTTTTTCACCTCGACTATTGATTTCCAAATTACAGTTTTGAACCTTGAAATTTAACTCGTTTTGATGAAAAATTTTGATCTTAACATCACAATTTACGAGAATCTTTGAAGATTTGAGATTCTTCAGACGAAAAATTCAAATGAAACATTTCTGCAAATGTCATACAAACTTGAACTCCAATATATTTCAATTTTTAGTTTCATTTTCATGAGATTTTCAAATGTCATCAAACTTTCGTTACCGACGAATGCTATATTCATCTTATTTTCACAAATGTTTCAAAACTTTTGCAATCACTTTAACTTTACTTTAAGCGATTCAAACCTTGAGTTGAAATTTGCATTTGTAATAACAGATTACAGAATTGAAAAGACACTTTAAGCTGGTCTTTTGATCAGAATATTTCATCTAAAGCTAATTCAAGAGAAAAAACTTGAAAGTTAAACTGAATGCCAATTGATAGCTAATTAACAACATTCATTGAAGTTTTTGTCCAAACCTCGTTGAATGACCTACTTGATGGAATGGATAGCGTTTAATGGTGAAGTTCATCGGCCTAAACTGAATGATTTCTTGTATAATGTAAATAGATAAGTGTTTATAATAATATCATCATGTTAATCTGGAAAGTCATCAGAAGGAGAAAAAAGGAAAACTCGATAGTCTTTGGAATCGTATTAAGATTAACATTGAACGATAAGTAAAGGCATTAAAAATAATAAAGGAAAGTGGTATCAATAAACTTCTAGCCTCTTCGTTAATCAAACTGTAGAGTTAAAGTATCATTGAGATGTCAATATGGATCGAGTAAAGAGATGATTCAATGTTGATCCAAGAGCAAGAAACTTGAACATATCAATCAAATTGAACAAAAAAGTTTACTTTTATGCCAACTTTAATGATAATAAATGTCTATTTTCAATGTTATTCAAGTAAATTGAAATGTTCATCAGAATCGAATCAATTTTTATTGAGTAAAGTAATTGGAAAACAAGGTTTTAACAATTTCTTGACCAACATCAACTCAACTTTCTAATATAAGACAGCATTCTTCTGGCTCTTAGATTCTGTCTAATTGAACAAAGATAATTCTGAACAATTCCCAGCCGTTCTAGAAATTTCATTCAATATCATCAGAGAAAGGCAAAAAATATTCTTGATAAACATTTATTCTATTTCGTATCAGCATATTTAAAGAAAAGGAAGATTTTTAAGAATATTCTGAGACTAAATTCTGTATTTTAATAGTTCTAAAGGATAGATTGTTTAATTGCTAACAGTTTTTTTCGCTTGAAACAAAATTTTCGATATAAAATTGGCCTTTGAGTGTTTAAAATGTTGATTAACTTTGCATTTCGAGGAAATTGTTTATTGTTGATAAACTAAGAAACTTTATGTAATACAAGGAAAGTAGTACAATAGACAATAAATAAAGTTATCGAACAATGAAGCTGAGAAAAAAAGAAACATCAATATTTTTACTTTACTGAGTAAACCGCAAATGTTAATGGAAACCAACCTAAGACAGTAAACTTGTTAGGTCAACAGTTTTATCCTCATCTTGTAAGCCATTCATTTTCATGTGCTTTTGTTTTGGGACATTTTTTCATTCATTTTTCTGATTCTTCCACTTTCAACGTTAATACATCAACATCATCTTGATCGTTTTTTCTCCTCTTCCTCTCCCTCCTGCTCATCATTTCTGTGTCTTCCCTTTTCTTTCTGTCTCTTGAGCCATTAAATAAGCAATTCACATACTTGACTAAAAACAGAGAAGACAATCTTTTCTGTCCTGTCTTCATGATGATCACCAACAAAATCTTGTTTCATCTTCTTTTTCCATGCAAACTCTCAACATCTTTTTAGTTAAATTTATCATCTTACAATTTCTTGCCTTCCCTTTCATCACTCATCTACTCATCATTCATCTTTCCATGTGTGTTCTGCATCCCTTGGAGGTTAACTTCCGTTTCCTCTTCTTCTCCTCTTTTTTGTTCTACTTCAAAGGAAACAATAGATATTTTTGCATTTAATGACAATTGGTTAATGTACAGTTTCACCATTTCATTCAGCATACTCTTTACCCTTTAACTGGGAGTGAAAAAAGATTGCGTGAAAAAGATGATGAAAGGAATTCTCAATGTTTTCATTTCCAGCCATCAGATGAACTAAGAAAGTATAGATACAAGTTAATAGATGCACAATCTTTACAATTGTTACACTTTTAGTCTAATTATGGGTTTCAGTTTAACATTGAGTGAACCAAGGAAACATTCATGAATCCATGAATACAGATGGAATTGTGTATAAATGTTGAAAGAACTGGCGAAACTGATGATAGTTATGAGAGTAAAGATGATGAGACACCGTGATCTTACTCAATCAAACCCAAATAATAGTCTACAATCAATCTTCAAATTATTTCCTTTCAAATAATTCCTTTTTTATTTTCTTCTCTTTCCTCTTTCTTGCTCTTTATCCTTTTTATTCATTATTATGCATTCCCTGTTCAATCATGCTTTTGCTGAAAGATGTGAAAGATAAAGTTATACACAATTATCATTACTGTATATATCAATGTTAATCTTAATATGTTTGTCTGTCTTGTATTTTGTTCAATTTAATCATTGAACATTGACCAAGCAATGGAAATGCTGATGCTGTTCATCATAATGATGGTGAAAATGAAGGGAAACGCCAAATCTGAGCAATGGAAGCATCAATAAGAATCTCAATTTTATACATTCAAAGTTTTCTGTCCAAACAGATAGACATTTGACATGAAACATCATTTTGTATTGAGTTTAGCATCGTCAATTCAACTAAACTTTGATCATTTTGAGAAAAAACAACATTTTTCTTTGCTCAATTCGGGTTATTAATCACTTGTTAAACGAAATGTTTCAAAGTGATAAAGTTGTAAAGGTTCTGAAAAGTCGATAACAAATGATCTTTGGACACTTGAGTTTTCCTTGAAAGGATATCCAGGAAAAGGAAATGAGTTGAATTTGGTGAAAAAACTGTTAAAATGTTACTATTAATAGTTATCATCTGTAAATTGTAAACCATTTGTCTACATCAATTATTTAAATTGTACCTTTGATTCAGTGTTCAAGTTATTCGCAACTTGCTTGGTATTCACTTGAAAAGCTAATGAATAACTTAAATTGAGTTTCCAGTCTGGTTTACTCGTTTTTTTACTTGTATTTTTTGTTGGTTCAGTTTTTGTTGTTGTTTTGATGGAAACAGCAGAACAAGGAAATACAAGGAAAAATGAGTTTGAACCAAAATTGAGTTTAATATTTTGTAACACAATGTAATAAATAATTTATAAGCTGAGCAAATTGAATTATTTTGAGGGGTTCATGGTTAAACTAGGAAATTGTTTAGATGAACATTGAAAGAGAAACATGATTGTTCTGTGTTAACCCTGCAACTAAGGTGACAATAATGGGAAATGTTTTAAAGAAAAATAATAAACATTTGATTGATTGAGATTAATCATTGCTTACCGTGTGATCTGCGTAGACTGAGGTGAAAATGGCTGTTCGCTCTTCGATTGATTTGTTTCCTTGGAGCAAGACTATTGGACGACTTAGAGTGGCCACATATTGTTGAACGTGTTCCCTTATATCGGAAAAGTCTTTAATGTGAGAGAAGCGACCTCGATTGTTGCATGCCAAGTTGCGAGTTGGCATGATTTCAGTTATCTCTTTGCCTACAAGGTAAGTAAAGATTCGAACCCGATGTTCGGCGTCTATTTTGGTCAACTCTTTTTGTAAGTCTTCGGCTACTCCATCAGTCACTAGCATTATCAATTGGTTGCATTGGGCTCCTGAACCTGATCGACGGGATGAACCAAGTATGTTGTAGGCTTTGGTTAAGGCTAACATTAGTTCTGATTGATTGTTGACTTTAAGAGTTTGAACTGCTTCACGAAACATTTGAACATTTTGTTTAGAGGCTGGAACAAGGGAATCCTTGAAACAGTCGACTATTGAATCAATTCGAGAGGAATAGTTAAATACTCCAATAAAATCATTCTCAGTCAAAGTGTCCAGTATATTGACTACCACTTCTTTGGCAATTGCTTGTCTTTGACCTGGCAACAAGAAAAAGGACAAGATTTAATGAATAAAGAAGATGAAGGATGAAGGCAGAAGTGATTAGCGTGTTTATTTTGTTAGTTAATGATCAGCTTTGGACTGATCAATTTGTGCTTTTTAAACTAATAGTTGTGATTAATTACATCAATGTAGCATGTAATTTATGTAGTAAAATGATTCAATTTGGTCACTCTGTTCATTCCTCAAATTTCACCTTATAAGTTAAACACATGAATGATAGTTTGCAGGCAATTAGTGGTCAATTCAATTTAATCACATATTTTGTGCGCAACTTCTGATCTTGCAATGTTTTTATATTCAGAACTTTCTGCTTCTCTGTTCCTCAAATTGTCATATTGATTTGAGTAAATTTTGGTAAATCGTCTTCGTTTGATTGATCATGAAAACTTGAATTGACACACAATTTATTAATTTTGAATGAAACTAGTGAAGTATTTGTATCATTCAGGATTGAATATGTTTGCTAGCAATGTATGAATAACTTTTAAGCGAACAAATGTTTTGCTACTTTCAAATGTCGACCAATTTGTAAACTAATGATATTGATTGTTAACAACGGTAATTACCTTTCATTGATCCACTTGTATCAATAAGTATTACCATGTCTTTGGGTGAAGCAGCTGCTCTGATGAACCATTGTGTTACCCGACAATCGTATAAATCGAGTGGCTTAATGTATTGAGGCTGATTGGGTGGTGGAGTTGGTGCTTGTTTCACGAAGAACTCAGGATAACGCCAATGATGAAGAGGGTATATTCGTAGGAAACCGTCGATGGAACAGTAAAACTGCCAATATGAATCGGGATCATATTCGTGATTCGAAGTGAACACTTTATCCAGTCCAGTTGACCATTTAATACTATTTTTAGTCTCATTGCGCCCGTAATATACGTTGACTGGAAGGTGAACGGCAGACATTTTAGTGTTTACTGCAACTCCTTTGAAGTGCTCATCGGGCTCAACATGGACAGGGAAAAATCTTGGATCTTCCCATAGTTTCCTCCATTCTTCTTCTTCTTTAGGTGTTTCCATTGGCAGTTTTATTGGTGGCACTGAAAGGTTTGTTAGGACAAGATCAGGTTCATAAAGGCGCTTCACTTCGGGAAAATCAAACTTCAAATTGGAATCATAAATGTGTTTCTCTGCCAATTCCTCAGCACGACGGGCAATGTTCACAGTAAGCATCTTTTTCCTCTTGAACATTGCCTCGAATTTACTTTTAATCTCACTAATAAGACTTTCAGTGTCCTGTTTGATTGGAATGGCTCCACTTGCAGCAAAGTTCTGCAAAATAGAAAATTCAAAACATGAAAATTAGACTGAAAATAGCAGAAATCTTCATTATGCACACTTATTCGAGAATCATTTCAACTGTTTGACTTTTAAGGGATCAATAGCCATATTTTATAAAAACTGAGTAACAAGATCATTCAACTTAAACTTTATTTATTCAATAAAGACCAATTCGATTGCGGAAACTTTCTGTCAATTCAATGTATTTGGTTGAATCCCCACTTCACTCTCTGAGTTACCCAAGTTTAACTTTTTCGACTGACTGACTGATACAATTAAAAGCATAAACAATGATGAATCTGATTACTTCACAAATGATTTAAAAATATCCAAGTTACTTCAATCCAACCTGATTGGAACCCTAAGTTTCTAATTTGAGTGGTTTTCGATTAATCACTACGAAAAGGGTTCACAGGATAAAAATGTCCTTCTCTATCTTTGCTAAGGTATCATTTAGTACATTTAATTAGCATAATTTAGTTCGCTGATGAATATTCATTGTCATGATTGGACTTCATTTAAGATATCAACTTTGAGTTAGTGAACTCTGTTTACTAATAATTACATTTACTTGTAACTTTCAATCAAAATTAGTTGGCAGGTTTGTTTCAAAATGGCACAGCAATCAAAAGATGCACAAACTGATTCTTCCAGATTATAATAGCAAACCCAGAACATTGAACGACATTGACTTGAGTCGATAATTATAATTACCTGATTAATTTGTTCATAGCAAAGTTCTTGATTCACAAATTGATTTAGATGTTGACTTAAATCGTTGGCCCAACGACGGATTCTGTAAAAACCAATGAGAAATGATGTTAATTGATAATTAAAACAAAACATGCAACAAACTAATGAAAATGAATATTGTAATCTTATGTGCACCAGAAAAGGACAAAACCCAATTTTAGTGATTCAAGTTAACTTTATAATGTATTTTTGCATTTGTTTAACCAGAATTTAGGCTTAATTATGGTTTATGTTTATGTAACTTTCATTAGTTCATTTGTTGATGATCACAATTAGCTTGGAAACAGAACTTAAATGTATTTCAATGTAATTGTTAATTAAGTAATTAGATTGGTATATCATCAGTTTCATGAGGTTAATGTTATTTAAAAGCTATAACTGATCTGATTTCATCCGCATATGTTTTGTATTCATCGATGTTGTGTTTACTCTTTCACTTTGTAACTTCATCTTTTATTGATTTATTGATTTGATTAGATTATCATCAATGACATTTACTCTGATAATTTCACCCTTTTCTTGGTTAACCATTTCAACACTTTACTGACACTTATTCAGGTTATTCATTCAGGAGTGATTTAAACTATCACTTAAAGTTGATCAACATTTTGTTAAATTGAATTCAGTGATTGGAAGAATTTCAAGTTTGAGAAATACTGAATTGAAATAAATCGTTTATTTGATATTTATGAATATATTGATTGGGAGTTACAGGGAGTTGTAAAATAGAAAATTGTCTTTTCGCACTTTAATCATGTTTAGTCTGAATCATTGTTAATTACCGTAATGATTGCAGCAGATGCAAAGGTGAAGCATTAGTAGATGAGTTTTTTCAGCTTAATTTAAAGACTTATATTGAAGATGAAGATATTATGTTTTTGACTCTTATAAGGTTGAACAATGTGGATTCACGTTTGATTGCGTGATTACATGATACTGATTTGTCCTAAATTGAGAATTACACAGAAATCTTTTCCTTCATGTTGACTATTTCAATGTTTACTGCTATTAGCATTATCAGATGAAAGATAATTGGCTTAATAATCCATTGATTACAGACAAATTTAAAGTTATTATCATTGAAGCCAAACTGACACAAAACCAGGTAATCAAAGGCGAATACGAAAAGGACAAAATGATGAGTTGGTCAGTTAAAGGCTAAAACCATTTGTTAATAACAAGATTCAATTGTGATTCTCATCGAGACAACTTTACAATCCAATCAAGTCAACTTTATGTAATCAATTAATAGTTGATAATAGTTGGTTCAAGACTTCAATCAAAAGCAGTTTAAGATACTTTTCGATCGATTTCATTCTAAAGCCATGTGATGCAGTTTTGATTCATTAATTCAAGCTTATAAGATTGTTCAACTCAGTCCAATGAAAAGTCTTTCAATGAATTTTTTGTATAATAGAGTTCGACCGAAATGGACTGAAAACACGAAGAATTGTTCTGACTTTAAAAGTGTCGATCAACTTCATTCAAAGATTTGTAAAGATTATTTGAATAGAAACTAAAATCTTTCAATTTCAATACGATTTTGATTGTTAATTGAGTTTGATTGTTGAATGATGAAAAGTTGAATTGAAAGTGACCATTGTTACTGAATTAATGCTTCACAAAAGGCTTCTTTTCAGTTGAATAAGCTGAATCGTGTTTATAAATGATATAAATTAATCTGTTGAGATGAAAAGAAAGATTTAAGATAATTTGATTGTTTGAAGATGATATTAATTTTTAAACAGATCAACTTAAGGCATTTTTGTATTCTTGTAAAGGTATTAAATGAAAATCTTTTTAAAGTTTCAAAATAAAACAAAAGGAATCATTTTGATAACTTTGAATAACATTCAACTCCTAATGATGATCGAGCTAATATTTACCTAAAAGATTGTAAAGTTATCCACTTGAATTTAATCAAAAGTCTAGACTACAATTGTGTGCTTCAAATGTCAATTGTTACCTTAACTAATTGGAAAAGTAGCCATTTTTGATTCATTTTAACTTGTTTATTTTATTCCTTGACCATCATTAATATGATTTATTTTCAATCAAATTAACGATTTCACCCTGAAAATGAGTGTAATGCACAAAATTGAATTCGTGACATGAAAAAGTAAACAATAACAAGTTAACTGATCTCATCATCACAGTTTAATATTTTTCCATCTCTTTGAATGTTCATCTTGAGAGTCTTCAGATCGGACTAGAGTGATGAGTTGATGTTAAAATGATATCGGGTAAAGATTAGAGTAGAGTTGATGAGTTGATGAGGAAGATGAAAAAAATGAGAAACTAGAAAAGTAAAAGAGAAGAAAAAATGATGATGATGAAGTAAAAGTTGAAGGGAAGAGCAAAACATCCCATTGATGTTGTTTCCTCAACAGATCGATGAAGATGCTAGAAGAGTCACTGCCGTGCACTTAACTCCACATAACTCTTTTTCTCCTCCTTTTCATCTTCTCCTTATCCATTACTCTCTTCACTTATTCCTCCTCATCTTCGTACCAAAACTTTACCCTCCTATGGCTACTTTTCATCTTCATTTTTCTTTTCCATTTTTCTTCCCTTCTCATCATTCCATCTTTCAACTTTCTTCATCTTCTTCCTTCTCTTCCTTCTCATTCAGCATCCCGTCTGAAAACTGCAATTGATAATCTTTGTTTGGTTCAATCTCTCTGACTATTGGAATCGTCAGTCGAAAGATTTCCTTTTTTCTCTCTCGACTCTTCTTCTGTTGTTTAGACTGAAGATGCTTTTGTTCATCCAGTCAATGATTTTATCCTCTTTTTCATTTACAGCATCTTGTTGTCAATTGATTTTCCAGTCTCACCATCTTAACCATAGTTAATCGTTTGAATTGATTGGGATGGATAAAGTGTAATACACTGGGATTGTTTGTTGAAGGCAACTTGATTTAGTTTCATCTTGTTACCTTTCATCGTTTCCAGCAACAATTAAGTGACACAATAATCACAACTTTACATTGAACTTTACACAGCACACAGATGGAGGAATCAATTTAATTGAACAAGAATCAAAACAAACAAACAGCAAAGTCAATTTAATAAAATCTGTTTTGTTTGTCTAAATTGTTTGTTTGCTCATCCAACATGGTTTTATAAACTTGATTGAATCACTTAATGCATTAAGATAACATTGTAACACTTGAAATGGTTTTAATTTTCATCTTACAATAGCTAATCAAAGTTTCTTATGCAAACGCTTTACTCTATTATTAATTTCAATTGCTTTCTCATTGTTTCATTCAGCCAATTAGCTAAAAGCAAATAATTGCGATTTAAGCTCTTCTTTCAATTAACTCTCGTAATACCAGTTTTTGGGTTCATTTTTGGATCACAGTTTTTTCTGGTTCTTTTGAAAAGAGTGTAAAAAAGTTTTGTTGGCTTACAGGTCTTGATCAAGGTTGGTTTGCTCTTGAAACAGTTGCGATGGATTCCAACTTATCAGGACAATGAAAATGATGAAATGATTAACAAGGTTCGATGTAAACTTCATTCTTGATGAAAATTTATCTTCCTTTTCTTTCTATTTGTTTCTTTCTCTTTTCCTTCTCAAGTAATTCAATGTTACTGATGTTGATGCCAATGAAGAGAAGAGAAGAAAAAAGTTTAACCAACTTTTTTCAAAATCTATTTATATCGATGTAAACAGCATCATGAACAACATGAGCCAGAAAAAGATGTAAAGCTTCAGTAAAATGAGACAAAAAAGGGAAACATTAACACCAAGATCAACTTAAACTGGACTATTAACATTGTAAGATTTCTGATGTTCGTCGCAATTTTTATCCTTTTTTGCGTATTTCGTTTCTCAACGTTTCTGAATTTCACTTTGTGAATTTTGATGGTTCAAGTTGAATATTAACAATGGTGATGTCGATGGTTCCTCTGGTCACAAAACAAATTGACTGGAGAGACTTTCCTTTGAACTTTGATCCAGTTAACCATATTTTTTTTATTCACTTCGGTCACAGAATCAATTCACTGCAAATGTCACTTGTTTTTAATCCATTGAGTGGCTCATAAACACATGTTTTTTTGGTTACAACTTTCGACTGAATAACAGTTCAACTGTTTCCGTTCAGATTTATCGTTTGAACTCATTTCTTTGTCTCTCTTCAGATATATCATTTATAATGTTAAAAGTTGACTTGAAATAAACTTGCAGAGGATATAAAAAGATGATGATAATTTTGTTGATGCTGCGTAAGATGCTCAGTGAGTTATTCAAACCATGAACAATGCCATCTAGCGAAATGCTGTTAACATGATGAGATTTTATTCTTTTGAATAATTAATTAGTCTGGCTAAAAGAAGAACTGACCATTGAGGGAAGAGATTTATTGGAACCTCGAGTTACTCTAGAACCATAATACCAAATTAAACGAACCTAAACAATAGCACCAGCAAAAGAATCAAATGCGAGTATAGAATAAGTATCGTCAAAGTCGGTGAAGGTGAAGTTAGGTGAAGATGTGGGAACCTGATAGGATTGATAAGATGAGGTGCTAAAGTACTTGATTAGTGTTTATTTAACGGTAAATCGGAAAACAGTTCAGAACTGAGTCCAAGTTATTGGTTGATCTCTCGTTTTTTTCCCTGGAAAACAGTTGTTCAGTGAAGCAGTATAAGTAAGCGAATATCACTTTTTAAGTCTTTTTATTGGATTTTTTATTGCTCGTTTAGATTTCTTCGACCTCCAATTAACTAATCAAACCTGGAATCAAAAGCCAATCAAGATTAATGAAGTTCCACTGAGATCTCGTTCAGATTTTTCATCAATTAAGCATATCACGATAGATTATTTGCTAATCGCTTCTTCAAAAGATCTTTTAATTGACGAGTCGCTGTTAATCATAATAAAATGCATAATCTTGACATAACGACTACATCAATGAGTGAAATCATTTTGATCACAGATCATTATTGTTCGAAATGGTTGCTTTTTGAAGGTTAGACGATTTATTGGTGCATTGAATTAGGGAAGATCCATATTCGTCTATCTCTGCAATGCTCTTTTTAAATTAACTTCACACCAAAAAAGATTGAAAACATCATGAAACTGTAAATCAGAGAATACGAAAAGTTCAAATCCTTCGATTCCAATTTTTTAGAGTCTCCAATGTCTCAAATGACTTTCTGCAATTTATTTAAAAATGAAACACAAGCGACCTTTTCTTAATCAATGATAAAAACAATTAAACTCTTTTTTAATTTTGAAAAACATGAATTTATTAAAATCTTGTTCGTTATTCTGATCTGATGATCCAATTACAAATCACTTGCGTTTCATTATTAAAATATTACTTTACTGAAATGTGGATTCGATTAATTTTGCATTATCCAAATAGTCCATTAATATGATTAATATGTACTTACCTTGTATTAAAAGTTACACCCAAAAAGTTGATCTTTAATTACAATTCAATTCATTAGTTGATCCATTGGAAATTCAGTGTCTCCAGAATGGATACAAGTCCAACAATATGTAACATTAATTGATGCAATTATTGTATTGTATCAGGTAACTCGATACAACATATCATATTGAATATCATGCTTAGATGATTGAGATTGAATCGCTGGAGAATTCAATTTCTTTTTAATTCAATTTGGATTTCCTTTTTTTTATCATTTTAGTTTTTTTCCTTTCGTTCTCATTCATATTGATCCATGGAAACATGGAAACATGAAAACACTGAATAAAGTCCGATGAAAATGCTCTTGTTACTCTTGGACTTACATCATGAATCTACTGCTCATTCATCATCATCTCATCTTCACTCTCACTTTTCATGTCATTTTGACATTTTTACTTACTTTTTCAACTCACTTTTCCATCATCAATACTCATTCAGAAATTAATCATTGTTCTCATGACAATAAAACTTTGACTGTAATATGCAGTCGATAATCAAGAAATCGCGAAATCAATAGTAAAGCCAAGAAAACTTGTAAAATATTATCACTTGTGATTAAATTGTCAACCAATAAACTTGAACAATTCAATTTATTCCAAATGATCAATCAAATTAATTTCATGAAGAAAGTTTTTTATTTTTGAAACTGAATGGTACATCAATTCAAGATTATGATTCAATTGAATACATTTGGTTTATAAATAAGATTTCAATAATCTTCAATCAATATTCAAAAGCTAATGGTCACAGTTAATCCGGTAGCATTTAAAATACAGAAAGCCCAATAATCGATATCTTTTTACCATCGAAATTTTTCGATTCCAGCCATCGATTATTTCGATATAATCGTTCATCACAAACTAACCATGTTTGGTTTTACTGGTGCAATGTTTACAAAATGTGAATTACATATTCTTTAATGGTTTTTAACTTCTCTCTTGTCATAGTCTTGTTTTGACATACATGTATCTTTTGTATCTTTTTACTTTAACTCTTTGTCTTTGATTCTCTGTTTACCCCACCTATAGTTCAATCATTTGTGATAATATTTGGGATTAATTAACTCTTGCAATGGATCTAACATCAAATCGTGTATCAATTACATTGCAACATTTGACTGATCACAGTTTAAATGAAGAAAGGCGGTGTGTGGCAGCTAATAATCTACTTGTTTTGGCCAAGGAGAAAGCCGGTGCCAAATTGATTATTGAGTCAAAAGGACTGGAAAAAATTCACAAGGAAATCAGTGCAGACAAGTCGTCGAAAATAAATCTCTCGCTGGTGAGAGCTCTATCTGAAATAAGCAGACATGACGCTGCTAACACTATCGCAGTTTTGAATGAAATCAATATTGAATTTATATTGTTACTGATGGTTCACCAGGTTCGTTGCTCTCACTTATATGCTTTACAATAATCTAACATTTTTCTTTATTTCTTGTTCTTTTCTAGTTTACCAACGAAGAAAGTGTCATGGCTGTTCAATATTTAGTTCAGACTTTTATTAATAGCCTAACTGGATTCGATCCAAAAAAGAATGCCCCTCCTAGGGAAATTGCAAATGAAGACTTGGTCACCGAAATAATTATTGCGGTTGGCAAGCGAACAAGCTCTAGAGCAATGTGTGCTGATGGGAGAGATACTTTGCTTGAACTTATCTCAAGAAATGTTGGACAAAATGCTCTTAACCTAGGAAGTAGGTTAATCGAAGCTGATTGCTTAGAGAATTTACTGGACGTAGCTGCAGAAGTTGAAGATTTAAAATTTGAATCCAGTATGAAAATTACAAGGAGCACAAAAAGTCTGGTTGCCATCGCTCTAGAACGAACATACGAATGTATGGATTGTGATAAATCAAGAGAAACATTCAGAGAACGATGTATGGATTACATTAAAGATAAACTGAGAGGCGGTGATGTTGAAAACAGGATTCGTGCTATATCAGTGATAACAACACTTCTTCAGGGTCCTGTTGAAGTAGGCAATTTCTGTATTAGTCAACAAGGTATAGTTGAATTGATGTTGGTAATGGCCAATTCAGATGACGACGAGGTGCAACAGAGGATTGCCGCTGAAGCCATTATTGCTGCTGCATCAAAGAAGGAAAAATGTACGAGCATTGCTTCCATGGGATCGGGTATACTCAAGAAACTTTATCAATCTCCAAATGAAAGTATTAAAGTTCGAGCTCTTGTTGGTTTGTGCAAAATCGGTTCTGCTGGCGGAGCTGACGCTTCTTTTAAACCTTTCTCAGATGAATCTATCCATAAACTTGCTAAAGCGTGTAAAAAGATTTTGGTAGATTCAGGTAAAGACAGAGATGTTAAAAGATGGGCTTCCGAAGGCTTGGCTTACTTAACTCTAGATGCGGACGTTAAAGAAGATTTGATTGAAGATAAGGTTGCAATGCGAGCTTTAATTGATTTGGCTAAAACAGGTGACTTATCATTACTTTATGGTATCGTTACGACTTTTGTGAATCTGACAAACAGCCATGACAAAAAAGGAAATCATGCCTGAGCTGATTGAGCTGGCGAAATTTGCAAAACAACATGTTCCCGAGGAGCATGTAAAAGATACAAAAGAGTTCATAGAAAAAAGAGTCAAAGAATTGGCTTCAATGAACATAACATCTGCTTTGGTTGTTCTCTGTAAAACTGAAAGCATCTCAAGTAGAGAAATGATTTCCCGTATTTTCAATGCAATTTGTGAACAACCAGATCTGAGAGGAAAAGTTGTCCAACAAGGAGGTGTCAAAGCCCTACTCAGTCTCTTCACTAGTAGTAATACTGAGAGAGGAAAAATTATTGCTGCTCAAGCATTGGCACGAATCGGAATCTCAATGGACCCAAGAGTATCTTTTCCTGGACAACGAACTATTGAAGTTATTCGTCCACTAATGAGATTATTAGATGTTGAATGTTCTGCGTTGGAAAATTTCGAAGCCCTAATGGCTTTAACTAATTTAGCTCAAATTGATCAATCAACTCAACGAAGTATAATGAAAAATGCTGGTTTCTCTAAAATTGAACATTACATTTATGATGATCATCCAATGTTGAAAAGAGCCTCAACTCAGTGTGTTACAAACATGATAACAAATCCAGATGTTGTGAAAATATTCGAGGAAGACAATGATCGTGTTAAATACTGGCTTTATATGTGCAGTGAAGAAGATCGAGATACAATTGTCGCTGCAGCTGGTGGATTAGCAATGTTAACTGGTGTTAGCAAGAAATGCTGTGAAAAAATTTTACAAGCAAAAGATTGGGAAGAAATTTTAATGGTTATTTGTTCAGCCTCTGATTTGGATATTCAACATCGAGCCTTATTTCTAGTCAAAAATATTATTTTCGTGGACAAAGCACTTGCCGAGAAAATTATCAATACTAAGCTGTTCAATGTTTTGATGGCGATAACTTTGCCTGAAGTCGAAAATATTGAGGGAAACATCAAAAATCTTGCTAAAGATATTTTACAAAAATGTCAATCATATGGTCTCATTAAGCCGGCTGACAACTGAAAAGGATTTAATCATTGAAATAATTTAATACGCCTTTCTCTTCGATCTTCCTTTAACTCATCAACTGATCAAGTAATAACTTGGAAAATTTAGTTTAACCATGAATTGCCTTGAATCATTCAAAATTGCTGACAGTTTTGTGAAAATTATTTACGTTTTATTATTATTCATTAAAATTCAATCAGTTAAATCAAAAGGTCACAATTTTTGTTTCTTTCATATTGATGATTGCCTGAATAATGAGAAACAGTTCAAATAGTAAAAGTTCAGGTCAATTCGTATCAAACTGAAACAATCTGAAACTTCTAATTCTAATCTAATTGTCACATGTTTCCATCATATAATAACATCGTTAGTTAAAATTGCTGAATAAAATTGAGCAGAGATTGGTTCAAACATGATTAAATTGATTGGCTGAAATGAAATAAAATAATTATGAAAAACTACTAAATGATTAGCTTAAAACTTAAGAAGAAACCTGAAAATTTTTTTGTACCAATAACCAGCCTAACCATAAAACGCCAGTAAACAATCAACGATAAAAAACAAAGCTTCGTAAAATGAAACTTCTGATCGACTTGATTCCCTCATTCATTTTATGAAACGAACCAAGTCATGTAAAATTTTGAAAGTTAAAGACTGGCTAATCTAATTAAGAAATTAGTTGAAAAAAATGAATTAGATTTGGTCTTTTAACCGAGAATAACCCAATCCTCTGAGGACCGATGATTTTGAAATAACCGCGTTTATTTGATAGACAGAGATGACCAGTTTTTGGCACCAAAGACTAACAAAATGTCTGAAACTTTAAGTTGACATTTTTGTGTTTATCTAGTATTTCAATTAATTTTGATTGTTTTCCAAAGCTTTTTATTTTTACTCATTTTATTGATTTATTAGTTTTAGGCACTTTGCCATAACTGTGAATGACTGGAGTCACAGATGATTGTTTTAAGTTTGTTTCGCAAAGATATTTATACTTTTGTGTTCACCAACTTTTTGGTTTCATTATGTGGCGAATCTCTGTGAGTTTCAATTATTTGCTTTTACCGTTTAAGTTCATATTAAGTAGCCTCATACTTCAGGTCAAGACGGACGAGTTTTGACCCAATGAATTGATTACCCTGATTATCTGAAAACAGAAATCATGATTCGTTGAACTCTGCTTAATCAAGATAGTTCAGATTAAAGTCAAGTTCATTAATTGACTTGTTTTCACCCATTTTTTAAATTTTACATTATTCTCAATAACAAGTGTAATTAACTATTCATTATCTATTACATAATACATATTACCAATGACAATTCATAATCGAGAGACTTCTTGCTCAATTTGCCTCCTAAAGACATTAAATGCAATTAAGTAAAGTATACAATGTATATTTTGTATAAATAATTATGTGCAAAGATATTTGTTTTTATCAAACTCATTTTCCTCGATTGTATTAACCATGTTTCAATGCTTATTACTCAATATGCAATTTTCGGTCTTTTGTGGTCTTTTAGTAAGACCCCGAGGAAAAGGAGTTTTATCAACACGGAAATATCTTTGCAGATAATTGCTCTTACAGAATATACAATTATTTGATAGAATTATTTAAAAATTATTAAACTGGCCAAAAGACCACAAATGACCGAAAATTGCATTATAAAAAGATTTGAAACATGTTTGATACAATCGAGGAAAATGAGTTTGATAAAAACATAAATATCATTGGACATAATGATCAGACAAACCAGACAAAATGTTTTCAATTTCATTACTTGTACAAAGATATGTTTTGATGAACACACATTTTCCTCGATTGTATCTACCTTCAGGGGGATAATCGAGAAAAAAGTCTCTCGATTAGGAATTTTCATTAATTCAGTGTAGATAATGGATTATCGAGTAAGTACACTTGTTATTGAGAATAATGTAAACCTTCAAAAAATGGGTGAAAACAAGTCAATTAATGAACTTGACTTTATTCTGAACCATCCTGATTAAGCAGAGTTCAACAAATCATGATTATCTGTTTTCAGATAAACCTTAAAATTCAAGTTAATCAATTCACCGGATGAACACTTCTCTATATTGACCTGGAGTATGAGGTTACTTGTGACTCAAAAGACTTGAACTTGATTCGCTAAAAATTTATTAATTGATAATGAAATCGTCATTTGATTTCATTTACGTCAATCCTCAGCCTTTTTACAATATTTAGCAATTAAATCAACCACAGATCAAATGGATGAATTGACCAAATACATTGTGCATTTACAAGTTAATTTTGCATTCCAAGGGATTCGTTTGCATTGATTTCATTTTAAAGCGTTTCACCTCACATAGGAATTATGCACTTTGAAGTTCAAGTTATAAATGGAAATTGATTTACTCAATCAGATGCTTACAGGTCAGATCATCATTCCTGTCTAACTATTGGTACTTGTTGCGAGACTTATGAAGCTGCGACGAGCACGAGATATCAATTCGAAAACTTATAAGATCAGTTTAACCAAGAATGCTAAGGAAGCAATTGAGCGATTTTCCAATTGATTATACATCAATCAACCCCTTGGGTGCTTTTCAGGTAATATCCAGATTCTTCTAAATATTACAACATATTACTAATAACCTTTGCAAGGTTGCTGTGATCTAGTTTTTTATTAACCGAGTCTTTCTTACGACTTGCATCAATAAATCTAATACAAGCAATTAATAGATAATCAAAGAATTTGATCTTCAATATTTATCAGTTGAATCTTGGTTCATGGTCACTTGATTTATGTGAGCATCTCTATCAATAGTAAAAGTATGAGCTTGAAAAAATTTAGCGAAATAATATAAATATCAAAATTCAATCTGCTGATTGATTATTTGTTGTTTATTTAAAATTCCCATCATCAAATTACGCAATTGACTCGTAATTAATTCCATGTAATTTATCGTTATTTTTTCATTCGAACAGCTATTCAGTTAGTAAAAGGATCAGCGTCTTATGAAATAAGTTTACATGAAAAGTGCCAAAATTATCATGTTCAAGGTCTTGAGAAAATTCCAATCGAGCTTCATGGAAAAGCCCTTTAAAAGGCTTAAAATGAGTATCGCTGAGAGTCATTGGGTTGAGAGTCATTAAGGTTTTCTAGTCAAGATGTCTGGTAACAATTGCACTAACAATTGTAAATTGGGTTTCCTAAGAAACTGTAAAAGATGGATGATAAAAAAAGAGGACTGATGTACTTTATTGGATGGATTCCTTATTAATTAGTTTATCACAAAAGCATGTGTTTCTTTGACTTTTGATATTAACTTTCAAATATTCATATTTATCAATTGTGACTGTTGGTAATTACTTGTTGTATCTGGTCAATATTCATAATTATGCAAAAATCCTGACATTAAATGTAAGATTGTGTTAAATAATTTAGATTTTTGTAAATCTGTTGTTATTCTGTTATCCTGTAAGAAACTTTCAAAGTAAATCTATGAATTTGGGAAAAAAATGAAGAAAATAAAAAGAAAACGTTTTACCTTACTTTCTAACTCAAGATCAACCTGACAATTGCTAATTATGTTATATTTTCTGGTTAGATGTTTTGGGTAACAAACTAAATAAGGAAATTCGCGAGATTACACTGAAAATAACCCTGAAACTCTGTTCTAATTATGACTGAAGACATTGACTTGTAATTGATTTGCAAGAATAACTGTTTCTGGTGTCGATCTTGATATTTGTACTTGATATTCGTACTTGATATCAATTTGATACTTTTATATCTTTGATTGGTCGCCATCTATTGTCAATTAAAATAATCACAAATATGTAACTTTTAATTAATTACAGATTTTTGTTGAGCAACTAAAATGGCGCGTCATTAAGTTGCGAAATTTTCCAAGGATTGATAATTGTTCCTTAAACTTATCGACTAAGGTGGTGATTGGAATAAAATACCCAATTAAACCACTTTCTGATTAATTAGAGTTGCTTGTTTTATTAATTTTAATTTATCATTGATTAATTTAATCATTGATCTATGCGCAAGGAAATTAAGGTTAGGGTTGTACTTTAAAATGCGTTTGTTTTCGAGGTTGGATGTTCATGGTTGCTGTATATTGTGTGATGTATTAATGCATAATAATGGTGTAATAATTTATTTTATAAAGCTTACGCTTGCGCTTTATAAGCAACTCTCTCAAGTCAGACTTACTCAAAGTCTCTTCTTGACACAAACAGTAAAACCAGGTTTGGTTTAGGTTGAATTTGGTTGATGTGAATGGTAAAAGTGTGCTTCAGAAATGCTTTAGTGCCGTTTAAAGCTAGCTTGACTACTCTCTTCACATACTTTTTTGTTATATCCATCTCTGTGTGATCGTCAGAACGTTTAACTGTATCTGTGTTCATTGGTCCGGTTCGCAGTTTTTTCTTTCTCTCTCCCTTTATCTTTTCTTGTCATAGTCTTGTTTTTACCATACCTTTACCATTACTTAACCTCTGATTCCCTGTAACCCCACCCAAAGTCCAATCAACATTTGGTGTGTTGCCGAAAAAAATAATAAATTAATAAACCATCACAATGGACCTGATATCAAAAGGAATTGTGAAATATTATCAGTTAATGCTGCAAGGAGACCCGAGGGTCAAAGGATTACCTCTTATGGACAGTCCCTTGCCAACTATGGCAATTTGCTTGTCATATGTCTACTTTTTTACGGTCCTTGGACCTCGATTGATGGAAAATCGTAAACCCTTTGAGGTTCAAAAGCTGATGATAATTTACAATTTTGCAATGGTTATTTGCAGTATAATTTTTGTGTATAACGATTTAAAGTATCATTGGCTGACACCACAAGCCAGCTTTAAATGTGATCCAGTTGATTATACAAATAGTCCAAATGGACTTCGTACTATGTACAATTCATATTTTTATTTTATTCTCAAGTTTGTCGAATTTGTGGATACCCTTTTCTTCCTTTTGAGAAAAAAATTCGACCACATTACCAAACTTCACCTTATTCACCACGGTATCATGCCTTTCAGTGTCTGGTGGGGGATGAAATTTGTGCCTGGCGGTCACGCAACCTTTTTTGGTTTTGCTAATTCAATTGTTCACATTGTAATGTACATTTATTATGGACTCTCAAGTCTTGGTCCATCCATGAGGCCATATCTTTGGTGGAAAAAATATCTCACTGCATTCCAGCTTGTGCAGTTTATCGCCATTATGGGTCACTCATTCCAACTCTTTTTCCGAGATTGTAATTTCCCAAAACTTTTCGGTCTCTGGATCGGATCTCATGGAATTCTTTTCTGGTTCTTGTTCACTGATTTTTACAAGAAGACCTACAAGAAGCCAATAGCAAATGGAGCAATCAAATCATCAACCAAAAGCAAAGAAGTCAACTTAAATTCTTCATTAGATGGAAATCCTGAAAAGAAAGCTTTGAAAAATGGTCTTCGAAATAGTGTAACTAAACTGAAAAAATCTTCTTAAGTTAATTAAAACGAAAGGGTAAATAAACTACAACTCGCTGCAACGTTGCTTAAAACAAACTTTCATCACAACTACATCCATACTAACTAGCAACACAAAAAGGTCACATGGAATGAGTGTAAAAGAGAAAAAAGGGAAAGCAAAGCAAGCTATTTCAAAAGCCTTTTTATGATGGCACTGGAAGCTAATGATGATGCTAATGATGATGTTTGATTTATATCTGCAACAACCTTTTCTCTCTCACTATATCTATTTCTTTCTTTCTACCTGTTCTCCTTCCTTCTCTTTTTGTTTTTTTCTATTCTTATTGAGACTCATCATTTGCACGCTGTTTGTTGATGAGAGCATTAAAATGTTATAATTTATAAGTCAAAGGAAAAAGAACCAAGACAAGATGACGAAAGAACCCGAAAAAGGCCTAAACATTCAAGCCGGATCTCTCAATCTTCCCTTATTAACTGTAGATTTTCCCTCCTTATTCTTTCTACCTTTTCTCTTGCTGTTTACTTTTTCTATCCAATTTTCAATTTTTTTTCTCGAGTGTGATTGTACCAAATTGTCCAATATTGGGCAATGATTCTTCACATGTGAAGAGTTCATGTGTCTACTAATCTGCTGGTTTTTTTATATCCAACTATATACAGATTCATGTATATATTTATATTATTCAAGAGGAGGGAAAGATTTTCTGTGTCTGTAAATCTTTTTTGTTTGCTTTTGCAAAGTTTTGTTGTCTGTTTTTTTTTCTTTCTCTAAAACCTTTTTTATCACTACGTTGTGTCAAAACTGAAAATCGGTTTTTTTGTTGGCCCTTCTTTTTTTAAAAAAATTCAAGTACAATTCATTCAACTACAAAAATCACAGTTTTTTCTCCATTATTTACCTCTCACTTTTTTTCTATTTTTCTCTTGACTTCGATCAAAGGTTATAAAACATAACCTGTTAATTAAACGAAGGCCAAGCAGCAAGAAGATTCAATGATAAGGAAGAACGATAACTCAAAATATGAAGTTGATGGCTTCTTTCATTTTCATGGCATTATTTTGACGGAATCATTGTTCTATGGATTTATGGTACCAGGATGAGATAATTGTTAAAAAGCTTGAGTAAAAAAATGTGAATAACTTCAACTTTAGAAAGTGAATGCGAAAAATTGAAGCTCTTAAAGTTTGAAAAAAGAATGGAAAGAAGTGAGTGAAGACGAATCAAAACGAAACAGGATAAAAGGATAGATAAATTTAAACCAGAAGCAGGATGATGATGAAGAAGAAAATGAATGAAATGAAAATGGTTAAAGATGTTGCTGATGATGATGATGTTAGTGATGATAGTGGGGGAGAAGAAGTGAAAATAAGCCAAAAAGTGAGATCGTTTGTGGCGAAAGTTTTTCCGGTGGCTGGTTGGGTGGGTTCATAAGATGATGATAATGACGATGATGATGATGATGATGATGATGATGTAGAGAGGATGATAGTGTTTATGTTGTTGATGATGCTGTTGATGAAGCGCGATCTCATTTTTGACCCTGTTTAACTTGACTGGATATATTTATCTTGGTGAAGCCTCAATCGCGTTGAGAGTAAGATGTTGATGAAGAATGGCAAAAAAGCATACAAATTAACTCTAATCTTGAGTAAATTTCCGATTTTCTCTTCATCAAGGAGAGTTTCACTTTAAATTTAGAAAATCATTCAGCCAGTAACAAACAAATAAAAAATGAAAACGAAATTATTCATCCTCAGGATATTTACTTTCCACTTTACCTCGCCATCTTAACAAAATCGCGTTTAACCACCAATTTTAATATCCTTAACTTTCCCTTTCTTATTTAACCTCTTATTATTTTACGCGCTTTCCCTTTCTTTTCCCTCTTTTTTACAGACAATCTGTGATTGGTTAGTTAACAGTTGAACCCTTGAGGTAAGCAAACAGACTTTTATTTCAACAGACATGCAATCAACTCTGAGTATTACAAGACAATGGAAAAATCAGCACGAATCAACCAAAGTGGACTTTTTTACGTATTAACTTTTTATCTCTGTTCTCAAACTAGAAAAAAAGCCTTTTCTGGTTTAAACAAAAAGATGACAACTACTTACATCTCTTCAACCATTTCCATCTGTTCATCAAAAATCAACAAATTATATTTTCTGTGTGAAAAACTCTTCTTGCCACAACATTATTTATCACTTATAATCGTTGATTCAAGTTCTCTTTCTATTTTTCTCTTCTATTTCTTCCATCATGCTTTTAACCAGTAGTTCAATTATCAACCAGTAACATAGCAAAATTTTTTACCAATCTGTCAACAATTGAGTTGATTGGAAACATACACAAAAAAATCATTGTTACCATGCTTTCATCATAATAACCTGGTAAGTCAACATTGTACAGTTTGTATGTAAAAAGGTTCAAAAGCCAACATGTTTGCTGTCGACTGATAACTTCATTTAGATATCTTCTATCTTCTTGCACCATATTTCATATTTATTAATCAATTAATTGTTGCTGTTTTTATGATAATAGCGTTCAGTGAAATGAAGAAAGGTACGGTAATTATCATTAAGAAATTACATGTATTAATAATAATTTGCTTTCTTCCATTATCATCAACTTTCACATTCTTCCCTTTTTACGGCTTTTCATTTCCACCATTTCCAGAACTACCATCATCATCACTTCCCCGTCGTTGTTGTCGTCATCATCATCACCATCATCTTAAGTATCGTCTTGATCATCCTCTTACATTCATAATCTTTAATATAAATAGGACAAAAACTTTTGTCTTCATTGACATAGACTTCAATTAAGTTAAATAACATGCGATTCAAATTATATTTTTTTTCATTGAAATAAGATTGGCAAGAATGCTTAAGTATTTAAAAGTGAAAGTAGGAAGAATAGATAATGATGGAAATGTGAAAGAGAGAAAGAGAAAGATCATTTTAATCTACTCTGGTCATCATTCATTTTTAGTGTCCTTTTGAAGGGATGTAAACGATGCTCTACCCTGAAGCAACAAAATTTAAACTCGTATGACCATCATCATCTCATCTTCATAACAATCTCATCGAGTCCTGAATTTCATGATCGTATGATAACTTTCACTATTATTTCATCTTACCGTCATTTATCCTCCATTTGAGTTCAACTTTTCCTTTTTTTCTTCCTCATCACTATGACCATCTGAAAACATTATCATGCTTTAAAAACAACAACAACAGCAACACATTAATGGAGATATAAAATGAAGCTCTAATAATTATCATGCAATATACGATAAATTATTGAAAATAATTTTCTCTCTTTCTCTCTCTCTTCGCTTAGATACTCTCAATCAATTGTTTACTTCGGATAAATGGATTAACGCTCATTATTATCATTATTTATTGAAATATTATTTAACTTGATTCACTAATCAATAAGGGAATCAATAACTTTTTGAATTACCCTCTTATTGACCTTATAACTTGACAAACAAAAATGCTGCTTGTTTATTGGTTCTTTGATCTCAACGTTGCTGTTGCTGTTGGTTTTCAAAGCTTACCATCACATGCATGCTTTTTTACCTAATACTTTCAGTTAATTTATTCAATCAATCAATTTAACGTATGATTGGGATCATCTTTAGTTAACTGGATCCTGTCAAGGTAGGTAACCAATTATTATTATTATAATAATCATCATGAAGGACACAAACAGAAAAGACCAACATACTCGAGTAAGCCTTAAACATTTTGGGTTGGCGTAAACAACACTTACAGCTATTACTGTTAATTTGATTCTTGTTGTTGCTGGACAACAATTATTGTTGGTTAATCCTGTCATGAAAGGAAAAGACCTTTAACTAACTGCTTTAAAGGTCAACTCAATCAAATCAATATTTAGTTTCATGTTAACAATTTCATCTTCAATCCTTTTCATCATCAACCGTCAACCTTCATCAAGTATTATCAACACTTACTCTATCAATGAAAAATGATGTTAATTCGGTTTAAACTGTGTTATCATTTCATCAAATCTTTCTCAAATCAGTTTAGTTAATCATTTTCATCTTTATTTTCATTAACTTATCTTTCTTTCTCTCTTTCAGATGGACATCATTGATTATAAACTTGCTGATGATCACTTGAATTTGAGACAAAAAGTAACACAATTTGGAAACATGTGAACTCGCTCATTTGCTGGATTAATCACTCCTGTAATCTGTCATAAACATACCTGATCAGTGGTCATAATAGTGATTGAAGGCAAACACTATTTCACCTTCTCTGACGCTTGGCTGCTGGTTACGTAAATTTGGATTTTACAACAACCATTGAAAATTGATAAAAAATTAACTTCTGAAAAGTTAACCGCTAATCTATGCAAAAGCAATTAATCACTGATCGCATTGATGTGATCAAATGTCCACCAGTTAGCAATTAATTATCCCAGAAACAGAAGGAAGCTCAATGATTAATATTTTCCCATGTCAATGGTGTTAACCTGATCATTTGCTTAGGCAAGATTCCAAGATGAAAGGAAACTATTACCACTTCTAATTGATAAAGGGAAACTTGATTCTCATTTTACCAAAGATAATTAAACAGATCATTCCGTGGATTCATTTTATCGATGGCCAACCATTGTGAAATGCAAGATCACCAGATTTCTATCATTATTGCTTTGCTGTTGGCTGGTTCGATATAAAGGATAATTCTGGTTTAATATAGTCGATTCACGTTTCTCTCAAGAAATCATCTAAACTTCAACGAGTTTTACAAACATCAATACTGATCATAATCAATGTTCATCAATGGTTATCTATTTAATGGTTTCTGACAATAATTGAACCTGAAATTGAATAGTTTCAAAATGTTACACCGATAACGCGTTATCGCTTTTTGTCATGTTTAACTTCACACTATTGTAACAATGTAAGATGATCATTAATTGATTTCATATCAATTCATTAACATACTGGAGGAGATGAAATTTTAATTTATTGCTGTAAGGCTTAAATATTTTTACTAATTACCATTTTACGTTGCATTCTATATGAATATTAATGTAGACTCGCCACATTTCAATCTTTTAAGGCTGATTGGAATGTTTCTTTCGGTCGAAACGATTGTTCTTGTTAATAGTTGTGATCAATTTATTAGGTTGTTAGAAAGTTTTGTACTAAAAAGTTAGCTTATAAATTGATTCTTAATAAAAATCGAGTTATTTTGATTAGATGAGCTAATATGCGCAATTATAAAGATACATTATGAAATTATATATTTGTTGAGTTTTAGTCATAATTGTATGATAAATTTTGAATTCTGAGGTCGCAAAGTCGACTAAAGAAGTCTGATTCACTTGGTTATTTTATATGGGCTTCAAAATGGCCTGAGTTTTGGATGTATGGCTTAAAAATTGATTCACTTTACTCCACTGATCAGGTTTTATCTGATTATCATTTGTTTAGATCAAAGAAGCATCCCATTTTGGGTCGAAAAGGCGAGAACCGAAGCGATGTTGGAAACGCAATTGAAGCTATTTGCGATAATTTCATTAATTAAATGGTTTCAATATAAGAATTAGAGTTTTTTCAAATACAATTTTCGTGCAAAACATTTTGACCAACCTATTAGTAAGATCTAATAAATCAGGTCAATGTCTTGACAAGGCGAAATGCTTGATGATTACTTAATGATTGAAGTAATTTTAATTGGTTATCATTTTATCTTATTGCTTCTTTGCCATCAATGACATCCTTGATTGTGTTTTATGAATCAATATTAAACTGCTAATGGACCTATTAATGGCATGAGATTTTATTTCCTCACCTTAAAAATTTTAACATTGAATAAAATTTATTTTCAATGTTGTTTCAATCAACTTCAAATATTTTTCAATGTAAATTGTCAAATTTCAAATTCTATGAAAATTCCCTCAATTTTGGGTCAAGTTTTTAATGATGTTTAGCTGTTAATTAACAAAAACTCATTTTCTAAAGAATTTAATAAAAAGATTGTGATGATTTCGTTTTTAAATAATTGGTATTTTATTTATACTTTTATTGAATGAATCAAAGAAAAATTGGCAAGTTTCTAGTTTTAAAAAAGCCGCTCTTAACAAGCTAACCTAATGTTTGATCAGGGAAAGATTGGAAGGACACCTGGAGGATTGATTTGTTTAAGTTGCGTTGGCATGAATTTCTTAACAAAAAACTTAATCATATTGTCACCAATAATTAATTAATCTCTTTTCCAATTTGAAGTTTAATTGTGACAAAAACACTAATTTTTGTTTCTTTTGTTCAAAATGTACCATAAAAGGGATAAAAAGGATGATGAAGACTTGGCAATAGCTGGTAATATATTTGCAAAGATTACCAAAACATCAGCCCTTCAAGATGCTAGGAGCTTCAACGAAACACCGGTTAACGCCAGAAAATGTACCCTCATTTTAACCAAAATTCTTTATTTAATGAACCAAGGAGAAACTTTTACCACCCAAGAGGCCACCGATTTGTTCTTTAATATAACCAAATTGTTTCAATCTAAGGATACAACATTAAGGCGTCTGGTTTACATTGGGATCAAGGAATTATCCAAAATAGCTGAAAATGTTTACGTTGTCACATCTAGTTTAACCACTGACATGAATGCTAAGGATGATCTTTGTCGTCCTCAAGCCCTGCGAGCTCTTTGTCACATCACCGATGGCACTACATTCCAGGTAAATATCACGTAGCATATATTTTTTCCCTTTAAATTATTCATGTTCTTATTGTCATGCATTTTTCATTCTTTCCTATCATTAGGGTATTGAGCGGTATATGAAACAAGCGATTGTTGACAAGAACCCAGCTGTTGCTTCTGCAGCCCTAGTTTCAGCTCATCATATGGCGAAAAACATTCCCGAAGGTGTCAAACGCTGGGTAAATGAAGCCCAAGAATCTGTCAATTCTGACAATGTTATGGTTCAATATCATGCTCTTGGATTACTTTATCATATCAAGAAGACAGATCGATTAGCTGTTTCCAAATTCCTTGCAAAATATGCACAAACGGGATTAAAATCTCCTTATGCCATCCTCATGCTGTTGCGTATTGCTGCTCACTTGTATTCACAAGATAAACAGAATGGTCCATATCTTAGTTTCATTGATAAATGTCTAGATCATAAATCTGATTTGGTTTGCTATGAAGCAGCTAGTTTGCTTTTAAAGATCAATTGTTCTACACCTATTAACACAGCCGCTGCCTTTGCAGTTTGTCAATCTGGTTTAAGTTCTAGCAGGCCTGTTGTGAGATTTGCTGCTATAAGGACACTCAATCAAGTTGCTATGCTTCGACCTACACTTGTGGAATATTGTAATGTGGAACTTGAACATTTAATAACTGATTCTAATCGATCAATTGCCACCTTAGCTATCACCACATTACTCAAAACAGGGCAGGAAGCTTCTGTAGAGCGTCTAATAAAACAAATATCTTCCTTTATGAATGAAATATCGGATGAATTTAAAATTGTTGTTGTAACTGCCACTAGGAAATTATGCCAAAAATTCCCTCGTAAACATGCGGTCATGATGAACTTTTTGGAGACAATGCTTCGGGATGATGGTGGTAGTGAGTTTAAGAAAGCAATTGTTGATACAATTCTCCATATTATCGAAGACAATCCTGATGCTAAAGAAGCTGGTCTAGCTCATTTGTGTGAGTTTATAGAAGATTGTGAACATACCAATCTGATGATAAGAATTCTTCATCTTCTTGGCAAAGAGGGACCTAAGACGAGTCGTCCAGCGCGTTATATAAGATACATTTACAATCGTTTAATACTTGAGAGTGCGCCTTTCCAAGCTGCTGCTGTCAGCTCACTTGCTAAATTTGGAGCACATTGCGAAGACCTCTTACCAAATGTAATAGTACTTTTGCGCCGTTCTCTATTGGAAATGGATGATGAAGTGAGGGACAGAGCAACATTTTATCTCAATGTTCTTCTAACAAAACAAAAATCCTTGTATAATCAATTCATTCTGAACCCATTGCAAGTATCCATTGTTGATCTTGAGAAATCACTCCAGCAATATATTTTAGACCCTAAAGATACACCATTCGATTTAAAAACGGTCCCACTTGCAACACATCCACAGAATAACGATGAATCAGCAAAGAAGCCTACAGTTAATGGAATGAAACCATCATCTGAGACTGTTCGAGTTACTAAGACAGCTCCGAATGAAGTTGCTGAGACACGTAGAGCTATCTATGAAGAACAATTAGCATATTTCCCAGAATTCGAAGAAGCAAAATTAGGTCCATTAATAAAATCTTCACAACCCGTCGAATTAACAGAGTCAGAAACAGAATATGTTGTTAAATGTATTAAACATGTTTTCAAGCGTCATGTTGTATTCCAGTTTGATTGCATCAACACGTGCAACGATCAAATACTCGAAAATGTTCGAGTATCTATGCAAGTAAGTGACTAAATATTTTATCTTGATGAAAATGATTTGTCTTGAGAAAAATATAAACCAAATTGCAACGATTAAACACATCTTGTTTAAATTTCAGGTTCCTGAAGGATACAGGAAAGTTTGCACGGTCGAATGTCCAGTTTTATTGTATGACGCTCCTGGCACAACATATTCCTGCGTAGAGATTGTTTCTGATAATGTTTCATTATATGTGGGAACGTTCGAAAATCTTTTACTAAAATACATCGTGAAAGATTGTGATCCCAATACAGGGAAAGTTTTAGACGACGAAGTTGGGTAAGGTGTTTGAGAGTTTGGATCTTGCATAAATGAAGTTAATTACGATTGTTTAATTGTCATTCTTTATTTACTTAGGTACGATGATGAATATGCCCTAGAAGATATTGAAATTGTCTGGTCAGATTTTGTGCAAGCAATCATTAAACCTGACTTTGTTTCGGCTTGGGAAGAGCTTGGACCTAACACTGAGGTTGCTGAGACATTCGCGCTTCAATCTTTCAAAACAATTGATGAAGCAATTAAAAATATCATTTATTTTATGGGATTGGCACCTTGTGAGCGATCTGATGTGGTTCCAGAGGGCAAAATGTCTCATAGTCTTTATTTATCAGGGGTATTCCATGAGGAAGATGAAATCCTAGCTGTAGCTAAATTAGCAGTTACGAATGAAGGTGTAACCATGAAATTATCTATCAGATCGAACAACTTGGATATTTCCAATTTTATAGTCTCCATCATTGCCTAAATTATCGCCTTCTTTTCAATTTTTTGTTGTACTACCAAAATAAATCATCAAGTTGAATGTCTTTCTTCATTCTGATAGCATGAAATAAAATCCAAACCCATTCAACTCTGTTTTTATATGAAAAATTAATTTAATTGATAAAAATATTTAATCTAATTAAAATAACTATAACTTTATCAGACTTTTAATTAAAGAAAACATCTTGAAGTGAATATGTTAACATAATAACACCTTTTAATCCATTAAATTATTTTAAACCACTATATTGAAGGTAACCAGTATTAATCAGATAATTAAATTGAATAATCTGATGCTGTTTTGAAATATGTTAACTATCAAGTTGATTAACACTGTCAGCTAACTATGCACAGTTAGCTCAGAAGTAGAGAAATCAGGTAAAAGAATGGGTTGAATATGTGAGAATATTCTTGTTCATATTCTTGATAAAGAAACTAAAGATGTTTTCTATTCATGAAAATATTGATAGGCATGATCAGGCTCATTGGATTGTGCAGCAAAAATTTTCTTTACATTTCTTCAGCAAATCTGATGAAATGAAATGATACAAAAAATCAATATTAGTATAAAATTTGAAGTGTTGTGACAAAATGATGAAACAAACGCTGTGATTGGCTAATAGTAACCACTAAACTCCGCCTTAGCATTCGCTAGTAATATTTAGTTGAATGCTGGGAGTTAAACTTATCCTCTCTTCAATCTCTTTCTCTTCTTTCTTTTCGATCTCTTTCATATCTCTATCTTGCCCATCGAGAGTGCAAGTGACATGAAGAATAATTGAAATCTTTCTTTTCCTTCCTTTTGTTCCTTTTCTGCTCTCTCTTATCACTTATCTTCTCCCTCCTCTTCCATGATCACAAGCATTCGTATTCTATAGTGTTCAATCCCTCCCAGTCGCAAACCTATTTCCTATCTTGAATTCCTTCCAGCCATAAGAATTGAGTTTTAATTATTAAATGTCATCAGCAGGTGAAATGTCTTCTACTCTTTCTCCTTCTTCATTTCAAAATCTTTATACCTTTCATAGTTTGTCAAATTCAGTCGAACCTTCATCCCAACATCAATCAGTTCATCATCAAAATCAACTACAATCCCAAGTTGATCATCAAACACAGTCAAACTCCAACATAAACAACATTAATTTAGATTTCAACGATTCTCATCCAAGTGATGCTACCAGTATTAGCACAGTGTTAAATAGAGATGAAAGTGAATCAGATAAATCAGTGAAAACATTAAGCAATAATCAAAGCAATTACAGTGAAAACGTCAGCATAAACAATCAGCCAAATTACTTCACTTATAATGGTAAGTCTAACCAAATTGGCAAGTAAACATTTTCATCATCTAAAAACAATGTTTATTGATATTCTTGTGTACAGAAGCAAATAATAGCTATGATAACTTCAGTAACTCTGTAATGATTGGACAATGTTCCAGTGATTATCCGAATTGCATTCCCAAAGTTGAACGACGAGCTGCTAACGTTAGAGAAAGAAGAAGAATGATTTCGATTAATAGTGGATTCGAAGAGCTTCGAGTTCATGTTCCAACATTTCCATTTGAAAAACGGTAAGTTTACTTTGGATTTATTAATGAATTTGCATGCAATTCTCTGACTGAAATGTCTGACTGATTAAAGAATAAAAATTTTGCAATAATTGTTTATTCTTTCAATGACAGTTTATCAAAGATTGATACACTTCGATTGGCAATAGCTTATATAGCACTTCTCAAGGAGATATTATCATCAGAATATGATACGATAACTTACTTCGAGAAATGTCTCGATGGACAGATAAAGAAGGAAAAAACTGAAGGATGGAAAACGAGTGGTAAGTTCATACGTTCATACAGTTCATATGTATTTAAATGTAAAAAGTGCAAATTTTCATATTGATTAGTTTCTTAAATGAGAACTCACTAAATTCAACCCCTACCTATAACTTGATGAAAATTACATGAAGCATGAGTTTCTGAAACATTTTGCAGTTCATTACTTTTGAAAGTGAAACTTTTAATAAGTCACAATTGCCAATTTTCATCAGAATTGAATCAATTTTTATTGAGTGAAGTAACAACATTTTAACAATTTCTTGACTAACAAACACTGAACTTTCTCGCGTTAGCAGTACTCTGTTGATTCTAAGAGTCTGTCTTATTAAACGTAAAAAATTCTGGACGGTTCATAAACTTTCAAGAAATTTCATTCAATATCACATGAGCAAATCAAAGTATATTCTGATGAACATTTATTCTGTTTCACACAGCATTTATCAGCATATTTCAAAGGAAAAAGATGATTCTTTAGGAATATTTAAGACTATTTTGCTTGTTAAAAAGGATAAATAGTTCATTTTTAACATGATAGAAAAATTTTTAGAAAAATATTCAATAAGGAACTGTAAAAAACTATTTCCACTCGTTTTTTGGACATTTTGAAATTAAAATGTTGATCTAGTCAAGCATCAAACGAAAGTGCATTTCTTGCGCCATCTAAAAAGCTCATTAAGAAATTTGGTTAAAAAATTCAATTGCTTTATTCATTTTCCCTTTAGAAGTACTTTTAGTAAAATATAATATGAAATTTTGAATTAAATGCAAAAAGTGCAGAAACTTGGATTCAATTTTTAGTGTTTAAAATGTTGATATCAATATGATTCAATATCATCAGAGAAAGGCAAAAAATATTCTTGATAAACATTTATTCTATTTCGTATCAGCATATTTAAAGAAAAGGAAGATTTTTAAGAATATTCTGAGACTAAATTCTGTATTTTAATAGTTCTAAAGGATAGATTGTTTAATTGCTAACAGCTTTTTTTCGCTTGAAACAAAATTTTCGATATAAAATTGAACTTTGAGTGTTTAAAATGTTGATTAACTTTGCATTTCGAGGAAATTGTCTATTGTTGATAAACTAAGAAACTTTATGTAATACAAGGAAAGTAGTACAATAGACAATAAATAAAGTTATCGAACAATGAAGCTGAGAAAAAAGAAACATCAATATTTTTACTTTACTGAGTAAACCGCAAATGTTAATGGAAACCAACCTAAGACAGTAAACTTGTTAGGTCAACAGTTTTATCCTCATCTTGTAAGCCATTCATTTTCATGTGCTTTTGTTTTGGGACATTTTTTCATTCATTTTTCTGATTCTTCCACTTTCAACGTTAATACATCAACATCATCTTTTTTCTCCTAACTAACGTTATTTAATGATATTTTCAATTCATACTGGTTTCATAATGGCTCTGGTATAATATCAACTCTATAAATGAATCGATTTTTTCCTTTCTTCTCAGACTTGACTGCTCGATTAAACTGGATTAACTGGGAAAACCTTGGAGTTAATCCTAATCTGAGAAACTTTGCCAGCGTCTTGGCTCAATTTTCAGCCAACTCTTCACATCCACCTGAAATATCAACAACTTCATCTTCCAATTCTCATTATCAACTTCACTCGATCAATAATAACCATCACAATCCTCATCCTTACCATTATCATCCTTATTATTCACCGAAATACGAAGCAATCCAATAAACTGTTTTGTTTTCTAATCAATTTTCAACATCAATTTGTCATGATAATATAAAATAGTAATTGCAAATCACTTAATTTGTAGTTAAAATGCGATTTCGAGTTAAATTTATTAAAATTTTCCGATGATAATTATGATAATTTCAACAATTTATTTCCAAACAACACCTGATTTGTGACTAAATGAGAAGAATTCAAATGAAACAAAATCTGAATGGTAATACAACATTGACAAGTTGCTTATGCCCAATGGTCACCAATTCCCTTAAGGTCAACAAGTACTTCAACTGTTGACCTTTTGGAATAGAACGATGGATTGAAAATATTTCGATGCAAAAAAAACAGAGAACAATTTCGACTTTGGTTTCCTTTTAATTGTAATCAACTTGGACAATAAATAAATGAGTAAATAAATGAAATGAAAAGAAATAAAAGCAAATGATTAATTTACGTCGCTAATTGATTATTGAAGAAAGTAGATGATGATTTTTGATGTTTACACGCGTTAAGTGATACTTAAATGTTGAAGAGTGCAAATTATGAGCTTGAATAATATTTAAAATAATTGATCGGAAAATAATTTCGCCAAATTGATGCATAATGTTGATGATGATAATGATGAGGTTGAGGATGTATTTATATTAAAGACTTGTTTCCGCTTTTGTGGGTAACTTTCATCCTTCCTTTCGCGATTATTTGTCAATTCATTTTGTTGATACATTCAATATGGTTACATCCATGTGAAGATGCGGTGATTGAGATGATGAAAGGAGCAACGTGTGGCCAACACAACGCCTGTCGCATTGAAGAGGAACCACAAGAAAAGAAGAAAAAGCAAAATCTTTTATTTTTGTAACCAATTGGTTTTGGATTCAACATTACTCTTATATAATGTTGGCCAACAATCAAGCAAACCTGAGTATCTTTCAAAAGCATAATTCACATGTCATCTTTAGCATCAACAGCAAAGTCAGTTTTTTGTCGCCCTGCGTTTGGAATAAGCATGTGAATTGTGTTCTTTTGTCCCAATTAATTGCTTATCCTTGAGGGCGACTGATTATTCTTATGAATCATTTAACGAGTAACCGACTTATCGAATGTTGAAAATAAAAAATCTTTAAACAACGCAATTAGTCCAATTGAAACAGCTTGAATTGTGAGATTATTGCATTAGTGGTTTAGCCTTCACTGATATCATTCCATAATATCTGAATTATTGATCTTCGCACAAGAACTTATTAGTTACCAAGTTTCAGTTACTGGATGAAGCTAGTTAATTACTAACCTCGTTATTATTTGCCTTACTGGATCCTTGAAGTATTATTGCAAAGTTATAGTGTTTTTAAATTGATTTTTGGTTAAACTAGAAACAGAACCCGAATAATGATATGATAATAATCAGAACAGTTGAAAGTAATGAAATGAACAGTTTCGAAGCGTATTGTTGCATGTTTTTATTAACAATGATTCAGACTAAACATGATTAAAGTGCGAAAAGACAATTTTCTATTTTACAACTCCCTGTAACTCCCAATCAATATATTCATAAATATCAAATAAACTATTTATTTCAATTCAGCATTTCTCAAAACTTGAAATTCTTCCAATCCATGAATTCAATTTAACAAAATGTTGATCAACTTTAAGTGATAGTTTAAATCACTCCTGGATGAATAACTGAATAAGTGTCAGTAAAGTGTTGAAATGGTTAACCAAGAAAAGGGTGAAATTATCAGAGTAAATGTCATTGATGATAATCTAATCAAATCAATAAATCAATAAAAGATGAAGTTACAAAGTGAAAGAGTAAACACAACATCGATGAATACAAAACATATGCGGATAAATCAGATCAGTTATAGCTTTTAAATAACATTAACCTCATGAAACTGATGATATACCAATCTAATTACTTAATTAACAATTACATTGAAATACATTTAAGTTCTGTTTCCAAGCTAATTGGGATCATCAACAAATGACTAATGAAAGTTACATAAACATAAACCATAATTAAGCCTAAATTCTGGTTAAATAAATGCAAAAATACATTATAAAGTTAACTTGAAAGAATCACTAAAATTGGGTTTTGTCCTTTTCTGGTGCACATAAGATTACAATATTCATTTTCATTAGTTTGTTACATGTTTTATTTTAATTATCAATTAATATCATTTCTCATTAATTTTTACAGAATCCGTCGTTGGGCCAACGATTTAAGTCAACATCTAAATCAATTTGTAAATCAAGAACTTTGCTATGAGCAAATTAATCATTATTCTGGAATTATTCTGAGTTCTACGTCAAACAAGCATAAACTCAATTACCCAACCAACCTCAATACATAGCACCACTCGATTTATAAGATTTTCTCGTAACTCAATGGTTCATCAGAGCAGCTGCTTCAACCAAACATATGAGGATACTCATTGATACAAGTGAGATTCGATTTTTAAGTTGATCAGCTATCATTTCAGTCAATGAATAAACTAGCCTGTCCATGCACTCCAACCGTTTCTGAATCAACTCTTGAAATTGGTATGAATGATTAACTCTTTAGCATAGATATTTTTAAGCAAGCAAGTGACTGACATTCAAAGAAATCACAAGAAAAAGAAATCAAAATCTTTTTGTAACCAATTGGTTTTGAATTCAACATTATTCTTATATCATGTTGGCCAACAATCATCGATCAAATAAGAATGTAGAATATCTTTCAGTGATCAGTTTCAGGGTTTAATTGATTGTAAAATGTGGATTGATTATCCGCTGAATGATAAGGTTGGTCAACCATCGACAAACACACAGCGAACGATAAGCCAAAAGATGATAAAGATGAGGATGAAGGATGGTGGAAGGCAAAGAAGACTAGAAGAGTGATTCTAAAGACCACAAAATCTCGTGATTTTTATTTATACTTTTTATATTCTTCACTTGGAGTGGATATCACTTTTTGAATATCACATTGCGTGTTGATGGATGCATATTGCACCGACACGTGATTGGCTCTACAACTTGTTAACTGCTTGTAAAAAGGGAAGATTCAAAAATGAATTGAAACAAGTGATTAAGTTAATCAAAACATATATTTGTATATTTATTTGTATATTGATTACAATCTCACAAATAAAACCGTATTGTTTGCAAGTTCAATGAGTTTGACTGAGTTTCCGATGGCAAATTTTTAATAAATGCTCAGGTTTCTTAATTCATTTTTTGCTTTTCAAATCTTTCCTCTTTTGCTGACTTGAATTAATTATTAAATCGCTTCCCAGGAGATTTATTTTCATTTAATCACTCAAATTCCTGCATATTATATTGTGGAAACTAGCTTTTATTTAGGTTGCAAGCGGAGTTGAATCTGTTTGTGCTTTCCATTGCCTGGTTAAAGTATAAACATGTAAACGATATACATAAATTTTTAGCTACAATCAACATTTTACACGATCAGTACGTTTACAAGTTACTTTCACTCGCAAAATCAGTTTGGTCAAAGCGAAATTTGATTGTCTCTTCTGATAACTATTACATTGACAAAATAAGGCAGTTAAATAAAACTGATTAAATGTATAAATGAAGCACTCGTCAATCAATTCAATCGTCAAAGTGTCAAATATTTTCTTGGCATGAGTTAAGCATAAAAACAAAAAGCATTGAGTTTGACTCTGATTGGTTAAGGAGTAACCAGTAAACTCCACCTTAGCAGCTTCTCTGCTTGAGCATCACTTTCATCAATGCACAGAGGTTAAATTATCCTCATCTTCCATCTCTTCTATCCTCTTTATTTCCTCTTTCTTTCCTCTTTCTTTCCTTCCATAATAAGATTCAATAGTGCAAGTGACAAGAACCATTAAAGTATACAAGTAACAGACATTTGTCGTACATTAAGCTACCAGATAATGAGAATACCTTGAAATAGCTTATTTTCAATCTTCTTTTATAAATAAAATTCGGGCTAAATTGTCTTTAGTCAATTAAACTGAAAGAAAATCAGATTTACTCAATTTAGCGAAATTTAAATTCAAATTGTATTGGCTTCTAGCCAATCTTTCTTAGTTAGGAAAAAGTGATTCTCATCATATGATAGCTTATTGTAATAGTTTGCATTTCATTTGTTGCTCTGTGATTCGCTCCTTCTTCATCAACTTGAAATAATCCTTAGATCGATTCCCTGGACATTTCTAGTCGATTCTCATTCAATTAAAATTGTTTCAACAAAGAAAACCTTTGCTTTAGGAAAGATAAAGGTAACCTTTTTAGAGGTGGGATTAATCTAACTCGAATTGAAATAAAGAATTTCAAGTTTGAAAAAATGTGGATAAAGAATAAAATTTTATTTTCAATAGTCACTTTTTGTAAACTGAATGAATCATATTTCAACATTTTTCTCCGATAATTTGCACAATCATCAGCAGAAATAACTTTTGCTGTATTTTGGATTTCGGTGAACATCTCATCAGCAGTGAATGAAGATGATCTTTGGACATAAACTTTAAAACGATTGAAAAGGTTTTCAATTAGGTTGAGGAATGGTGAATATGGTGGAAGAAGAATGAGCTTATACTTTTTCTAAACAAACTACTTTCTGATAATTATGATTCAATGGAACATTATCCATGATCGGATAGTGTTTTTCACATACCCATTTGGCAAATATAACAAAAACATTTCATGATTTTCACCTATCCAATGTACAAAAATTTTCTTACGGAACTATTGAAATCATTATTTTTCTTCTGATTTTCAATTATTTCTAATATTCGGTGATCTAAACTGATATCGAATAGAGGTCGACTTTCAAAGAGACTGGACTGGATTAAAGATGATTGTAAGCATTGGTCTTGTCCTAACTGAAGCATAACCAATTGGATTGAAGCTCAAAGTACTTGCAACCGTTTGGATGCGATTAAAGAGTAAATAAATTGTGGCTCAGATTAGCTGTTAAATCAATTACAACAATACAAAGTGAACAACGCTTAAATCTTCTACATCATTACACTCAACCATTAGACAACTAGCATGACTGACAAAGTGAAGGGACGCCAAAAAACGCCACGTGATTATCAAACAGTTTGGAATGAGAATTGAAATGCTGAGAAGAAATAATTTCAATTAGCATATTCAGATCAATTGAATCTCAGTTGAACATCTTTACACTAAGGATAGCTTTGAATGCGAAAACGATTGAAACCGCAAGATATCTTTCAATAAACATTTGATCTCAATGTTAACTCAATGACATGTACTTAAAAATAATAACCTGTGGCAAGTTGATTGTTTGTTTGTCCAATTACTTGAGTAAACAATGTCGTCAATATTTGATTAACTTTCTTTTCAGTTAAATTTACACCTTTTCAATAGCAATCATTGGTAAAAAGTATCACACTTAATTTCAACTATTGGCCAAACTCAAATGCAAAGGACGCTTTTTTGTTAACCAGTATTAAGAGTAACATTATTGAGATTATTTGAAACGACTTTTCCTTACAATTGTTCATACATTATAATTGTTTTTTACCTGCCGTAAGCTCTTTCGCTCTCTCTTTCAGGTTATCCGAAAATTCGGTTTGAAACAATTGATAACCTTGTTTTTTCGCTTCACCAAAATAACCAATTTTTGTCAAGTAAAGTAACATTGATGCAAGATTGTGTATTAAACCATTGGAGCAACTATCTGATCTCATAATAGAGTATTACAATTGGCGTGAATGACTTTCGCTCTTATTCAAAAATAATTATAATATTAATCATAATGATGTCTAATCAATTTGAATAATAAATCTAGCTATTGATACTGTTGGATTCATTTTCCTTTCAGATTTAATTTCCAATCTTACCTTCCTCCTTCACTTTCAACTTTTTCATCTACTTATCATTCTTAACATCAACAGTAGTTTAAGACTTTTCTGTAATCACTATTCCGACTCAGCCTGAAAAACCATTTCGTAATTGTTGTTTGAATTGAGGAGAGAAAAAAACGATCAAGAATTAAGGTTGCAAAGCAAGTTTCATTTTTTTGTATTCAAAATTCAATGATTACTTTTGTCACTCATTTTAATGGGTTTTTTCATTTTGAAATCATAAATATAAAAAATATATAAAATTCTTAATTTCTTTCTTAGTGTGTGATGTTTTTTGCGTTTCATTATAAAAAATGATTTATATTCTCTTTGGCATTTCATTTGATAGTAAAAAAATATATAATGGAAGGTGATTGTAAAAATGGTGGTTTTTGTAGTTGATGACGGAAAGAAATGGGCAGTAAAACTAAAGGTGGTAAAGATGTAGATGAAAGATGATGATGATATTAAAAATGATTGCTTCATTTGCTCAGTCTAAAGAATCTTAAACCAATCAAAAAGAAAACAAATGTCCAGACAATTGTAATTCCATGAGCTGTTGCCACTCTTGGTGTAAACATGCTCCAATCTTTATACCAAATATCACGCAGAGCTTCATTAGCAGCCGTTGTTGGTGCGTATTCACAAAGCCAACGGAAATAGGCTGGTATCGATTCCATTGGCCATATTGTACCACTCATAAAAAGTATTATAAATAGTGTGGCTGCCGAGAAGACGGCACACTGTTCAATTGAATCACAGAGGGCAGAGATGACCATTCCATAGGTCATTCCAGACATGTTGAGAAGCATGAGAAGGGGAAGTGAGTGTAGGATATGGATACAATCGACTGGCATTTTGAAGACAGCGATGGGTAAATAGATAATTAGAAATAGATAGAGTGACATCATGATTACTCGACTTAAGGCGAACGCCAACAACATTTGCGAGGGCTTTACACCGGCCACATAATTTCTTTCGAAGGTTTGATTTTTTCGCTCATTGATGAGGTTCAGGGCTGTCAAGGAATAGGCAATGGCATAGGTTATATTAACAATTAGTCCGGGCAACATGAAATCTCGGTAACCACGGTAACTTTTCTTTTCTATTCTTCCATAGACAGGTGAACCCATTTTGATTGGTAGATTAGCTATAAATTGAGGCATTGGCACATCAGAATTTTCATCACCCTGGATTACCCGTTGAACAAAATTGATAAAAGTTTCATCTAAATAACGATGCATTGTTGTTGTTATGACTCGATCTGTAAGATCAGCGTGAAGACGAATGTGACTCTGGTTGATTGACAAAAAATCCGGCTCTGATTCAGAAAATAAAATATCTAAAAGCGAATCAGAGAAACCTTTACGAATATGAAGATAACCCCAAATATCACGCACTTTAGCTGCTTCAGCCGCCTCACTCAGATCTGAATAGTTCATAACGTTGAACAAATGTGGATCCAGTGCATTGATAAATTGTTGACCTAAATCTTCTGAACCACCTTCTTCATTAACGATACCGAGTGGGATATCAAATGGCTGACCTCCAATACAGAGAGCAAAAAGTAACATGGACAAAATAGGTATAACGTATTGAAATCCGATTGTTAAGGGTTCTCTAATATCACTGACCAAATGTCGCCAAAGGGCACCAAAAAAGATGAAAAACCATTCACGGAGGCGTTTCTTGATTAAAACAGGATCGGTGATGAAAGTGGCTGTTGGAACATTTCCCTTGTACTCTATTTTTTCTTGTTCAGGAACACAGCTGATTCTACCTTGGTTTCTACAAATATCAAGGAAAGCATCTTCCAATGTATCAACTCCACGGTCAGCTAAAAGTCGATCAGGATCTTGTTGCATTAAAAGTCTTCCTTGTCTCATGAAACCAACATTATGAGACCGCCGAGCCTCTTCGATGTAATGAGTAGTTATAATAATTGTAGAACCTTGATTTTTTGAGATAAACATTAAATGCTGCCAAAGTTTTTCTCTCAGCAACGGATCAACTCCAGAAGTTGGCTCATCTAATATAAGTAAACCTGGTCGATGGATGAGGGCTATGGCGAAAGAAACACGTCTTTTTTGTCCTCCACTTAACTTTTTAATCATACGACCTTTATCAGGAAGCTCAAGTACTTCCATTAACCCTTTGATTCTCTCATATAATTCTTCGATTGAGAGAAAAAATACTCGACCATAATAGATGAGAACTTCTTCAATGGTCATATTCTCGTACAATGTGTTTTCTTGAGGCATATACCCTACTCCAGGGCCTGGTATTTGAGAAGTTTCACGACCTGGTTGTTTACCAAAAATCATGATTTGACCATATTGAGGCCGAAGACATCCAACGACACATCGAAGTAAAGTTGTTTTACCACATCCACTGGGTCCTAATAGACCGTAAATGGTTCCCTTTGGAACAGTCATGTTGATGTCTCGAAGAATTTCCTCCTTTTTTTGTGTTAAATAACCTAAACCACGGATAATAAGTCCACTTGTTGCTGAAGAAATACTGTGGTGTTGATTGCATGATGCCGAAGATAGATGCTGACGAAGTGTTGCTGATGGTGATTGCCACGGAACCGATATTTTTACTGAATTATTGCTACACACGGTAAGGTCTTTCGGTGCACCCATTTCAGAAGTGATGGGAGCTTGAAAGGGAAAAATTAAAGATGAACCAAAGCTAACGACACACTGTTAGGTCACTTTGTTGGTCAGTTGAACTAGAAAAGGTAGAGATGATAGACACACTTCTCACTAAATGTAAGGTAAAAATGAAAGTAAAAAGGGTCCTGACTTGAGAAACTATTCAACACGTATAAAGAGGTCGTGACCTTATTTTAGTACCAATATAAACTAAACTATCTCTTTAACTCCGCCTCACTAAGTCACAGCCTGTGGCCTCATCACTCACGCCATCTTATGGAAAGGTGAAACACTGATTTAAACTTCAGGTGTTGCATCAATTGATGTAAACACAATAAGCAACATAAAATTGTAAATTTAAACATTTAAAATAAAGATAAAATCTATAATAAAAACTTGAAGTTTTTTATGTTTCAATTTCATTGACAAGATTCGCAACGTCTTTGTTTCACTAGGGTTATGTTTTATTTTATATCTACAATTAAGTTAACTTAACTTACTTTTTCAGTTCGAAACTATTTCAATTAATTTGATCAATTGAAATGGAACAATCATTTTTATATTGGACAAACTTAAAGCGAGTCTAATCATCATCTACATTCTTGATAAGCGACAATGGCAGCTTGTTTGGCTAACTTGTGGGCAGCATCGTTACCAGGATCTCCAGAATGTCCAAGAATCTTCTCAAATTTAACATCAATTGTTTTTAAAGCATTAACCAAGGCGAAAATGTCACTCTTGTTCTTAATTCCTAAGCCATTTTGCGCTTTCCAACCATTTTCTTTCCATCTATCAATCCATTTGGTTGTTGAATTGACTAAATACTCGCTATCGGTTCTCAGTGTTATTGAATGATAATCGTGTTTCCTTGCTTGCCTAATTGCCCACAAGGCAGCATTTAATTCCGCTCTATTGCTTGTTTGAGATCCTTCTAAGGGTATACTTAAATTACGATCATCATCTGGACCCCAGTAAACTCCGATTCCAGCTCGAGCATCATGTTGACCATTGTTTATACAAGAACCATCGATGTATACCACAGCGTGACGAGTTTGATTATGCATTGCACGACATAGACACTTAGTAAATTGATTTAGTATCATTTTAATTAGTTAAATAGAGTAAATAAATTAATGGATAATTGAAAAAACAAAATTAATTAAAGATAACAATTGCATTACAAAATTTCGGTAACCATGTCAACAGAGGCAAACACTAAGCTATTGCCATCTATGAGTTAACAGAAAAAAACTAAAAAACTATTTTTTTTCAATTTTCTTAATAAACATAAACATTTGTTACATAATTATCTTTAATCTCTAGACTTGTATTTCATTGAAGGTTATTATTATTAATTATTATTATGTCGTTAACTTCATACCAAAAAGCTTTGATTTATACACATGAAATAATGGTTATAATTCTAGAGAAATCATCACCGAAATCGTATTATCTAATAGATAATATCTATACCAGATTATTGATTGTTAACCCAAGAAATGTTCATTTTTTAATTTCTTATTGATGAACAATCAATAATTAAGGTATTTCTAAATGAAGAGAAGTAACAATCGTGATTTTCATTTCAATCAACAGAAGATGTTTGCGTCTAATAAATAAATTATCAACATTCTATTCAGTATTAAATTAAAGTTATGCATATTTGAAGGTTTCTTTTGCGTTTAGCAAAATAATTGTGCAATGAAATCCCAAGAAAATATATTTATGACAGTGTATATCATGTGTGGTAATGTTTGAAGAGGTTTGAAATTGAATGAGGATCAATTGGTTAAGCAGAATAACAGAGTTGACTGATCAACATAATTTAACAATTTTTCCCTTTGAGGTTATTTTCCAATCGGTTTTCTTTAAATAGACTTTTAGATCCATCATAATCTTCTATTCGGATTTGACTGAAGGAACTTGAGAACGAGTAATAAGCATTAATTATTGCATTGTAAGTGCGTGTATTAACACTGTACAAGTTTATGTACTTGATTAGAAGCTAGCCCAGTTGGATTGTTGTTGATTATTGTCAGCTCCAACTGAGTTGGTAGTGGTTGAAGAGTCTGAAAAATCAGCCCACAAATCATTATCAGATTTGTTTGAATCAAAAATCTTTGTGATATCCTGTTGGACTGGTTGTGACGATCGAGATAGACTTAAACTTTCAAAATCTGTGAAAACAAAAAATAAGAAAAATGAGATCATCGAATGAATAATAATGAATAGAAAGAGAAACTAATTAATGTAACTTTCGCTCTTTTTTACTTCATTCAACTGTCTCATTTATCGCTCAAAGCTTACCATCAAGCAGATCATTATCCTCTTTCGAGGAAGTTTGTAAGAAATCAGATGATTCATTTGAGGTAGCTTTAATGCTGCCGGTGTTGCTGGTGCTGTTGCCTGGCGGGCCTGGAATCTTTATTGCACCTGGGGGAGGAGGAAGAATACCTATTGGACCACCAGACACCTTATTTTTAAGCTTGTTTCCAGCCCCATGTTTTTTCTGTAAAAATGGATGAATTGACAATTGAAAATGAATCAAGAGCTTACTAAAGTAATTTTAAAAATAAAGAGTGAAAAGATCAAATGTTTCTCAATATATTGACTCAACTCACCGAAATGTTCAAATTTACTTTGATGGTTTCTCCTTCTTTGAATTTCAAGTCCAGTTTTGGTTGACTATCAGCGGCTGCATCTTCTTGCTCCAGTTTAATCCGCTTTTCAGCCAATCTATTTATAACATACAAGAATGATGAGTGATGGTAAAGAAAAGGAAAATTTTAGACCGTCAGCCATGAGCCTTAAAAGGTTTATCTTGTATTCTTATAGAGACCAGTGGTTGAAAAGTATACAATTTGGCACTTACTTGAAATGATCCTGAAGTGACACATTAAAATCAAAAGAGTCTCCTCTATCTGCAAAGCCCATTCCAATGAATGCAGAGCGTCCATTATCATCTTGCACTCGTATAACAAAATATCGGCTAGAATCAGAGACTGGTTCAACAGCAACTCCTGGATAAGCATCGATAGGACATTTAGCAAACAACTGTCCACTGGCTTTGTCTTCAATTTTAAGTAAACAAGTATCCCCTTTAGCTACCAATTTCATTCGACAGGTCCAATCAGGAGCGTCTAACTTCCAATCTGAAGCTCTACAATGATAAATAGAAGAAGTAAGAAAATGGTTGAAATGCAAGAGGTTAGTTTTTTTGTGGATAAGAAACGCTGCTGACAGTTAAGCTTTTCTCACCTTACTGCTCGATTGGTAGTTCTTGGTGGTATTTTGAAAATGAAAATTTCATTCTTTACCAAAAGGATCCTTTCGTATTCTTCATTAGCCATTTTGACACTTGAACTGAATACTGATCAATCACGATAAAGTAAAGAAATTAAATTTCAAAATAATGTGTGTACCCTTAGGATGAATGATATTGGAACCTGCAATAGAGAAGAAGACAAGATATAGGATATAATGATTACAAAATGGCAACAGTTTAAAGATTTTAACAACCAATAAAAATTATAATTACCAAAATCACCGCAATCAAGTTCACAATCAAATTAATAACACAAAAAGGAGGCGGTGGCAGCTGACGAGTCAACTCAACCAAGTATACATTGAAGCAAGCTACCAGCCGATTATACCCGGAACTGATTCAATTTGATTCTGGTTAAGGAATATAATTCAATCAGGCAAATATTAAAGGGATCAAGATTAATCAAAAATGGTTAATTTAAATTAAACAATTAGTAAGAAAAGGTTCATTGAAAGAAAAGATATAAGACAGAAAGAGGTGGAAGCAGATTGATGTTGTTGCTTTGCTAAGCTAACTCACTATCACAGAAATCCGTTGTTTAACTGGAAGATATAATTATATTGATAATGTCAATAGTTAACAATAAACAATAAAATTGATTGATAAATAATCATGGACAATTAAAATTGGCCATTTGAATGTTAAAAGAGAAGGAAGAAAGGGTCGATATACAACACAATAGGATCTTTAACATTTGTTTACATCAACAAATCTAATATCTTCTCTCTTTTTCCTCTCTCTTTTCTTCTCCTCTCTTTCCCCTCAAACCTTTTCCCTCTTTTTTATGTTGGAAATATTTCCAGCTCAATTTTAGCTCAATCAGCTCAATCGCTTCAGGTCAATCTAATTTTCATTTGTGTTCAGTAAAATTATTCAAAATGTAAAAAATTTTCATTAAAAAAGTGAAACCAATAAAAAATTTTCACTCAACAATTTATGAAGTAGGTATTTGAAGTAAAAAATTGACTCTAAATTTCAAAGTTGGCTTGTAGTTCAATTGCAATAACAATCAAGACAACGTTGCCAGAAAATAGCAAGTAATTATCAAATAGTAATTTAAATTATCCAAAATAAAAAAATGAAATAGTCTGTAGCAAGAATTGATATCGGTTACGTAATGATTAGATGAAATGATTAAGCTATTTCATGCATAATTTCATGAATGATGCTAAATGTTTACCATGTTGAGAATAAAAGTTATCAGCTTCATTAATAAATTGTTACATGATTTATTTTATTATTTTGTAATCACAAAATACTTTAAGTAATGGTTGGGTTTGTTGTATCCAATAATTACTATTATGTTCAATTTAACTGGCTTTCTTTGTCAAGTAAAATATATTTTTTTCAGTTGCCAGTTGACATTTGTAGGAATTTGGTCCACCTGATTGTCGGTTAAAAATTTCCAGATTATTTGTTGCCAAGCAAACGATTAACAGGACCGTTGAATGAAAAAAGTAGAGGACAATAAATATCAATGGTCTAGTCCAGTCCGGTCAAGGTCAGAGAAGCTACAAAAGAATGGGTACGAAAGTTTGAAGGTAAAGGTGAACTTGATCTGAAACTCTCTGGTCAGAACCGGATTTATGTGGCTCTAGCTTAGCCTTTGACAGGTAAACTTTAGAGCTTCTTGCAAAGTGAACGTGACCTTTACTTTGTAAGCCTCAACAGTTGTTGTTTACCCGAAATGACCCAACAGAAAGCAGCAGAAACGAACCAACTTACACCGGTTATTGTTATTCATTTTTAAGGCCTTTCACCTTGGTCAATGGCCTTCATAATGGTCAAACAAAATTATTAAGTGAGTTTTAGATCAAAACTCATGATCTTCATCAGGTCAACCGAAAAAAAGACAAATGATCCATTCACACCAATATTAGTGATTTAACCAAGAGTATCAAGTAATTTAAAATGGATACTGCTAGCCTTCAGCCATAAACCCTTTAGAAGAGCCCAACTCATAACCAACAGTTTTCCTTTCCAGGTATAATCGAGTGTCCGGTTAATTATAAAGATTGACAATTTACACAATAATTTGGTAACTCAAAGAGCATCATTTGCCATCAACCAGAATAAGAAATGAATGTAGCCTTTCCAATGTAGCAGAATAACCAGCAAGATAAATTAAACGATGACAATGATGATGAACGTAATTATCCAAAGAATGGCATGAAATTTAATCAAGTAAATTCAAAATAAATTCAAGTGATAGGTAATAGCAATACCAGAATTTTTATCATAAATATTATGTAACAATAACAAAATAACTGTGAAGCAGAATTTGAAGTAAGAATAACCGTTATAGTTATTTACAGAGAGATTCATGAGTCGTGAGAATAGCTTGTCATTCTAATTTCCAAGGCAATTTAATGTTTGAATGGAGAACACTTTCTATTATTGGGTTGAGTGTTTCTCGATTAAATACATTCAAATTGGTTACATGTTACTTTCATTTTGAACCGTTATGTCCCTTCTATGCGTTAACGGTAAGTAAATTGTGCCAATGGATTTAATATTGTTTATATGGATTATTCTAATCACTCCACAATCAAGTTACCTCTTCAATCCCAGCTTTCATGAAGTTACACCGATAGGACCTACTCTCTGTGACCTATTCTTGGTTATAACCCTTCCCAGTCTATGGATACAAATGTTATCCTTGCTCTTTTTTTAAATCTTATATCCTAAACCTTGTTAATTAGTTTTTTTAATCGTCAATTATGATATTCTAATGTTTTATCGATTTTCTCATTCTTCTCTTTTAATCATAAAGTCCGAAGAGCACGATTAATAGGACCTGATGGTAAATACATTTTTATTTTCAAATTGAACTATTTCCACTATTTTGGTGTTTCTATTTTCATCATTTTTCCTGTATTTCACTCTGGTTTCACGTTGCAATCCAACTCATCCCTTCCTTTATTGACTCAACTTGTATTTACTCTTCTTTTTCTCATTTATTTTTTCAATTCGAATTGGGTGAAACGAATTAATAACCTAATCAATTTTGGATAACCATTAGCAGCCCAATACAGCACTTATGTTACCTTAAAGTTGCAAAATGTTAAATCAACCACGGTTACAGTTAAAGGTTCCAATCCCAACTGGGAACAGGACTTTCTATTGTAAGTAATGGAAAAATGTTTTAAATTATTGCTCAAATCATTAATTCCAATTCTTTTTATTTTTTCAACTTTTCACCAACTAACAGTGAAACAAATCGTTTGGACACCGGGTTGATAGTTGAATTATGGAATAAAGGTTTACTATGGGATAAACTATTAGGATGTCACTGGATTCCATTAACTATTATTCCTATGGCTGCAGAGGTTAGCAAAATGGCGCACTATTTTTCGCACCAAAATTTCAATCTTTTTAAAAAAATTCATTTTTCTAATTCAAAATATTTTTCGATCGGGTTTCAGGCTATGGATGATGGACAATGGCTATCTTTAGACGGCGAGTTTATCATTGAGGAAGGCGAAGTCTGTGGGACTCACACTCCAACTGGTCATTATATCCTGATTGAGGCTCATTTTGAACCACCATTCGGTAGGAAAATTATTATCTTGGTGATAAAACAAACGCTTCTAACTATTGTTAATTCATCTGTTTTAGAGTATACAATTGAAGATGTTACCGAGTTTAGTCGGAATCTGGATCTTCTTAATAATTATACGGATCAAGAGAAGACAAATTGGCAACCTGAAAATCGAGATCCCTCCATGGTCATGCAACAGTATTCACTTTACTGTAAGTTTATTTCATCAATTAAAATGAGACAATTAGTGCACACAATTAACTTTCAAGTTGCTTGTACTTAGAAACATAGTGTTAATCCTATTTACATTTTAAATCAAGAAATCAATCAATTATTCATTTGTGAAATATCATGCATACAGATTGTTTTAATGCTAACCAACAATCAGACCCACATTTACCATGTAAATTTCAGTTTTTTCGCATCTCAAGGTAAAAGCAGACTTTAACTACGACAATTAGGTTTTCCACTCAATTTCGAAGGTAATCCATTGAGTCTACAGAAACTGACAAACTCGAATTTGGGTTGATTTCACTGTAATCTTCTTCCAATTAAGTTTTTTGACTTGAATTGAAGGCAATTCTGATTAACCTGACTTGCTACTTACTAAAAAATTTGCAACTAACGTGACATTACTAATAATTATTGTCGACCAAAAAATTGCAGATTGATTGAAATACAATCAACTTGTTGGATAGTGATGATGATGAATGTTATGAATAAGGTGACATCCAACCAGTTAACAAACACACGCACAAATCAGTATCAATCGCAGTAGTTGAATGAGTATAAAAACTCTGAAAACAAAATGAAACCATGTGACATGCATTAAGCTAATATTGAAGTATTATATTTGACAATAGACTAGTTTTAAATTGATTAATATTTGAGATGAAAATTTTTAATTACCAGTAAACTGTAAAAAGATTGAATCTTGATTGTTAATAGTAGGTCACCATTATTGATCTAATATAACAATGAAAGAGGAGAGTAAAGATAAATAGAAACACACAAACATACAAAAAAATAGATGATTAGGTCAAAATATAATGTATGATAGGCAAGAAAAACAACAACAAAAGATGAGGATAAAGATGAATGTCATTTGACCTGTTTTCGATGGAACCAGGTAAATCAGTGAATAGCCCTTTTTTGTATCTGGTTGACATTTAATCAGGTTAATGGTTATGTTGTGATGATTACCTTCTTACAGTAACATCAATAAAAAAAATTGTAAAACAATTTGATAAAATTACAGAGTTGAGATTCAAAGGTGCGATACTTTTGTTATTTTCAGGTAAACTGTTTTGATTTGATCACTTCAACATCTCAACATGATGTCTATCAATGAAATGCCTAGTCATTTACTTATTATTACAAATTTTCATGACAAATGTTGGTAGACAAGAGAAACATTTTTGTTCTTTTTCTTTCTCCAGATTAGTCATTTCATGTATTTCTGTGATGATTGAGTTGACAACATCTGGTTAACACAATAGACTAATAATAATGATTATAAACACAAATTAATGAAATGGTGACAAATGTGAAAGTGATTTACATTTTTCCGATGCAAACCTGGTTTTTCTGGTTAACCATGTTTTACCAGTTTCTTGCTGTTTTTCAATTATTCAATTGTGTTAAATGGCAATTTAACCAATACTTTTTGTTACATTTTGGTTACACAAGTTTAATCGTTTGTGAAACTCAACCTAATTGTTTTTCATTGATTGCTAGTTAATTTACCAGGATTGTCAATGTTGCCAAATGTCATTTAGATGAATGAATAAATACTTCACTGATTCACAATCAATTTAGATGGTTTTATTAGCCATTGATTAATCAATGTAAACATTTTATTTCCCTATCTTTACCTTTACTCTCAATATTACGATAATGATTACGATGATGGTTATGTTGGTTAAATTGAAGTCAATACAAATGATTTACTTAAAAAGTCGGTGAATCAAATTTACGTCAATAAGCTATCTTCATGTTTCACTATTCCTAATTAATATTACAAGCATTGACACCTAAATAAATTGTGTTAACCCATCACATTTTTTTCACTGGTAAAGATCACTGTGCATAACTTGGTTTCTCTGTGTTTCTCACTCCCTTTATTAAACCTAATTGCTCCTTTGATGGTTATATTAGCCTTATAATAGTTTATTATTGATCGATATCTAATAGTAAAACTGGTCAATTCTCATCTATTTCAAGATAAAAATGAAGAGAGGTGCAAACAAGATGACGATCATCAACATTATTCACCTCTTTTCATAGACTTCTCATCAAATGTGAATTGAATAATAAGCTATTATTCAAGTACAATTACTACAAGTGCGAGTGTTTTTGACATTATTTTGAAGACTTCAATTTTTACCTTATTACTATTCATTTTGATTAACTTTCAAATGTCAATTTGATTTGTCCAGACAGATTATTCTTATTACCATTGTATAATGGTCATTTTGATTGATTGTCATCTCTTGATGGAATTAAAATTGCAATAATTCACCATTTTATTTTAATTATTTATTCTCTTGTTCTATTTTATTAATTATTGACTAACAATTTACTTTTTCATTTTAATATTTATAGCAGGTCTTTCAGAAGATAGTGATTATACAAGCGATGTCAGTTACCCTATTCAACAGCAACATCCCAATTACAGTAGTCACCATGCAAATGCTGGAGCTTCTCAGTACGGTGGTTATCCTCATTTATCGAAATGGGCAAAAGAGTACGATGAAGGGAATAATGCAATGGCCTCAACATCGTTAATGACCTCTTCTAACCAATTACCTCAACTTCAAACTGATGCATCATCATCAACGACAACAGTGCCACTAGGTAATACCAATGATCATTCAATGATATCAAATCTCGATGAAAGTTCATTCGATCGTCAACCATTCCAACCAAATTCAGGTTCATCCACATCAAACCAACATCAACATGCAACCTCTATCAGAGGATCATCAACATCTTCAACCCAAATTCCTGGTTCTCGAAAACTTCCCAAACCATTTAAGAAGCAACTTAGTGATGAAAATGAGCCGCTTTCATACAATAGTCGTCCTCACCGTAAACTGCCCAATCTTCACGATAAGTAAGTTTTTCAAAATCCATTTTTAATTCTCTTAATCTGCATTTTTAATCCGATTGTTTTTAAACAAAAAACCAGAATTATGCTTCACCCATTTTCACCCAATTTTGCTTTGACCGCCATTTGTGGTGTCACCTAGTGACGGAAAATGATAATAATTAATTTCATACCAATTTTTCAATAGCAATCGGATTAGGTTTAAGACCGATTATGATTAAAAAATTGTGATTTGATTGAAAGTCAAAACATGAATTTTATTAGTGATTCTTTTTTTCCTCTCTTTGCTCAATACTTACTCGCAGTTAAGTGAGAATGTTTTCCCGCTAATTTTACCAGAATAACTCAATATTTCAAATTGAAAAATTTAAACATTCTGCGAAATTTATTCAATATTAATTGACATAATGTTTATCTTCATTTTCATTCAGGCCTAATCGATTGCCTCTCATGCGTCAGATTACTCAAGAAAATAGCAACTTAAATCAACAACAATATCAAAACGATGATTCAATGACAATAACTAGTGACTCTAAAGGCATATCAACACCATCAGGATTCAATCAATTTGGTAGTCCCTCTGTTTCTGGAAGAACCCGCCGACAACAGCCTGCAATCCCAAGAAAACGAAGCTTAGAAAGGCAAGGAGGATTCGAACAGTATGAAGATACTTCATCTCATGGAAGTCAAATTGGATCTGGAATGAGTCGACCAATATCAAATAATCATCTAGATCAAGCAGTTGGTGGACCAACAACCTCTTCAACTCCTAAAAAGCTTCCTCAAATATCTCAAATTGTTCAAAGATCTTTACCCGAAATGCCCTCAGTTCCCCCTTTTGATAAGAATAAACTTTATAATTTTTACGAACAAGAAACAGCTCGACAAGACAGCTATGAAAGTTATGCAACCAGTATTGGAACCGAGTCTGAGATGAATGAGGACTGGATGAGTCGAAGTGATACAATGGATGCCAATTACGATGAAAGTGGACAATTGCAGTGTGTCAATGAAGGTAAAATGAAAAAACAATTCATTTGTTTAATCATGATAATAATTCTGATTCTCTCTCTCTCTTTCAAGGCTACGAACAAGATAATTGGACATCAGTTGACACTCAAGGAAATTATCAATCTCTTGATATTGACACTGGTCTATCTCAATCTTCTGAACATCATCTTCAACACTCTTCATCTTCAGCTCCAATGATTTCCACTGGTACATCAGCAAACCAAAGCTCAGGGTAAATGAAATTACTTATAACAATGTTGAACAATCTCAAATTGTTGTCAACCATTTCTATTGAATCAAATTTTTCCCCTTTCACTTTAATCATTTCATTAACATTTAATTCTTATTGTTATTATAGTATGGTCAATACTGTTGCAAGTAAGGTAACAAACCTGATTGGTGGAATGGTAAATGCTGTTAGTTCTGGACATTCCCGGGGTGACTCGCTGGATTCAAGTAATTTAATGAGATCTCAGCCAAGTATCGACACTTATGAACCAAGTGAATCCAGCTCAGCGTTTGGACGATACAGTCAAGAATCAAATAGTATTGATGATTCACGAAATGGTGCCAATAGTGCAAACGGAATGATGATAAATGATCAACGTTGCTACATTGATCCAAAAGAACAGTGGAAAAATTCAATTCAATCTGATTCAATGATATGGCAAACAGTTTCCGAAGATGACAATTACGAGGACACTTTGCAAGATATTAACACCTATTACAACCAATCAACGGAAAAGGAAGAAATTTCACCTCCATACTTAACCCCGGAAGCCAGTATTGACATGGATAATGTTCGAGATTCAGTTTCCTTGATGGAACCAACTACAACAACAACCACATTATCATCATCATCAAATTTATTAAACACTAATACAAACAGCAACCTTAATACAACATCAAGTAGTAGCTCAAATTTAATTTTACTGCCCAATTATCAAACACAAACCACAACTGGTTTAGAAGCTGGAATATCCAGTGATCCAAGTCAAATGTCTTTCAATTCTGTGCCCACCGGTGAATTGGCCTCTTCAATTAATATGCCAGTTACCTTTCCTAGTATATCAAACACTCTTGCCTCATCGATAGGGTCACAGCAAACCTCGATAAACCTGCCTCCATCAATGATACCACCATCAGCCTCAGTAGTAATAACATCCCAGCCTCCACCGAGTGCATTGAAAAGTGAATCACGTGCCCAAAGCGAACCCAAAACAGTGACTTTTTCAGATCAAATACAAGAGGAAACCTTTTCTTCTGAACGTGGATCAACCATTGACAGTTCTGGGCTTGGTTCAGCATCCATTATTGATATCAATGAAACAACCGAACTCAAAGATTCAAGTGATATCAGTGGCCTACCATTTACACCTCATGCTTCCAATGAAACAAACTTTATCAACGAGCCTAAAAGTGCTTTTTACGAGTTTGCCCCAACAAACACATCGGGAATGTCAAAAGCTCGACTTCGCTGGTTAACTGCCTACAATAAAATTGTCAGTGATTACGATTTGGTGAGCTTTACAACATTTTCATTTTTCAATCTTGATTCAATCAATTCAATCGTTTCTGGTTTTTTCCCTATTTCCATATTTTAACATTAAATTTATTTCAGACCAAACATTGAATAATACAGTTTTCATGCAACCAGTTAAATTGTGTGAGAAACTGGAAACAAACTAATTGCTGTCTAAATTAGCTTTTAATAAGTGCATAAATTGTCTATTGATTGGTATATTAGAGTTTGTCATCAACTAATTTACCATTATACAACTTTTTTCAACTCACTACCAATCATGATTACAGTTAATGATTCGTAACAAGTTTGAGCAATCATCAAGCTTGTCATTATTACATCTTTTTTTCTGCTCATTTCCATCAACATCCATCATTTTATTGATCATAACCTTTTCGTAACCCTTTTTTTACTTGAAAAAGACTTGCAACCTTTTTTATGCCAATCTTAGGTACATTACAAGAGTAAACTTTCATTTTTACTCTTGTATACCAAATCATTTGCTCATTGATTACCTCAATGTATTGAGATGAGTAAAATGAATTTTCAGGTAATATTTTATTTTACCTAAAGCACTGATTCAAGTTACAATCTTGTGCATAATCATTTCCTTTCAGTATTCAATCTCTTTTGACATGAGAGATGATGATTATTGATAAGATTAACTCAAGAAACTCTTCCCTTTCAAGCTGAATTTATCAATGTTAATGGTTAACCCTGTAATGATTCTGATGGATAAGAACCTTTAGGCCAAATGAAAATAGAGTTTGTCTCTTGTTTTCTTTCGACTTTTGCTTTGTCCATCATCTGTGATCGTCAATCAATTGTAAACAAAGTTTTCTTATGATTATATCAATGACCAAGAAAAGACTTGGTTTACATTCCAGGCACATTTCGATTCTTCTCTGAGTTCAACATGAAAAAGCTATTTTTGATAGACTTGGGTTTTCATAAATTCCTTTGAAAACCAATTATCCATTGATTGGTTAACTAATTTTCGAGCTTGAATTTGCTTCTCGGAATAATTTTCATTTACAAATGTCACAAATCAAAAAAAGTGTTTCATTTGAGTTGTAATTCCTTAATTTCAATCAAACTAATTGAGTTAAGGTAATAATCCATTAAAGTGCCCATTTTCATTGAGCATTTTTTCACACTTTTGTTATTTTTTCAATGATAAATGCCAAAATAAGAAAGAAACAAAAAAAGATTTGATTCTTTTTTGTTTCCCTTTTGGTTAATTCAATTTTCATTTCAATTATCCTGATTGTTTGCTCAGTTTTGCTGTTGAAACTGTTGACTTATTTGTTGACGATTTCAATTGCGGTAATTGTTTCCAACTTAACAATCAATAACATCTCAAGTGTTCCAACATTATTTTACTCCGTTATTCACATCGAGAGGTCACTAGTAATTCACAAAACATGTAAAATCAATCTTCATTTTGAAAACGATTCACATGAAAATAATCAATCCCAGGTAACGCAGTCTCATCATCATCATCCTTCTTTCACTGAAACATCATCTTAGTCTCCTTTTTTCTTCTTTTATCTCTTCCAATATTCACTCTTTTTCTTGTTCCCTGTTTGTTCATATTTGCTTGGTTCACTTGATTGTTGTGCAAAAAACAAAAATGAGTCTCTCAATCCAACGATATCAACACAAATGGATATATTGTGTATATTTTTATCAATTATTATTTACGTTATTGCTGTGTTTTCAACTTTTCCTCTTTGTTTTGTGATACAACCTTTATTTTATTTATTGTTACAAAGCAAAGCAAAAATAATAATTGTATAAATAATCAATTAATGAATCATCAACAATTCAAATTTTGGATTATTGTGAGTTCAATCAGTTGATAATAATGTGTTCAATTTTATGAGGAAATATAAATATTTATCAACTGTTATCTGTTATACTTAATACGCTACAAGTAATAATCAAGGTGAAAAGTCTAACTTGGAATGAAGCAGAATTAACAAGAAGAATAAAAAGAAGCAGAGAATATGTTTCTTGTGACGATTAACGAATTAACTTGGAATTTAAAGATTATAAAAGTTTGACAAAATTGCGAATCTTGTATTAAAAAATTAACTTTCCCACTCAAGTGTGTGTGTGTTTGTGTTTAAAAAAAGCATCCAAGTATAATAACATGAAGAAACATGAATGGAAGAAAATTAATGCGATTGACAAAAGGTGAGTCAAATGATAATTCCAGGTTACCTAATGTTAATCAATACCATGGGCTATACAGTATACCTTCAACCGGACCATCAACATTACAACCTTCAAAATCAGGTCAACAGCAACACCATGTGCCGTCAATTGTCTATCAACATCAACAAGTGAAACAAGATGTTCATCGTCATGCCTTCCCTTCAGTCAGTCCTTTACACTCTCATCCTTTACCTTCACCTCAACCAATGCAACAACCTTTATCATCACCACAGCCACCGGCCTCTTCGCGTTCATCCTACTCTCATCGAAGCTCACCTCAACGCATATCTCCAGCCGCCTCGTCGACCCTCTCTACACCCTGTTTACCTCCACCTCCTCCACCACCAGCTCCACCATTACCGTCATCACATTTCAGATCAACTGGCCAGTTCTCAACGGCAACTTTAACTTCATATTTAGATGATCCAAAAGGATTAATGAGAATGAACAATGTTGAGCAAACCTTGACTTCAACCGGTGTCATTTGTAATCCTTCCGATGAGGTTATACGCAGGTTAACCCTTCGAGTTCATGATCTCGAATTTGAACTTCGTCAGGCTTGGAGTACAGTTGATCTTCTTTCGAGTGAGTACATCTCAATGTGGGAGAAGCTTGAACGATTGGAGGAAATTTTGCATCAACAGCAAAATGTCATCTCACAATTGTTGGTTGTTATTCAGGAAAGTTGTGTGCTCACACCCGAGATAACATCAAACCTGCAACTTGGCTTATCGTCCCAATCAACTGCCCAAAAGAGTGAAGAATCTAGTTTGAGACCAAATATCGCTTCTCGTGATGAACTGCGCAATGATTTGAACTGGCTTGATGCAGACGTTGAACTTGACTTGGATTTGGAAAGACGAATCCAGGAAACAATTTCAATGGCTGATGAAGATTATGCTCACAGTTTAGCGACTCCAACTACATTTCCCTATTTAACTGGATCTGGGTCGAATGTTAATTTGCTTAATGAAAGTTCATCAATAAATTGCTCAACTCATCCCCTGCAAGGGTGGACTCGAGTGGGTATAACAAATACTCGTGGCCTTCTTGAACAATTAGAATCATCATTTGATTCACCACTTGGTGGTGGATTGGCAAGTCCAGATTCATCTTCATCAGAGGAGTTTCCACTTGATGATGAACCTGGTTCATCCTCACCACCTCCTCCCGAGCCAACAATAGGATCATCCCACCAATATTCATCATTATCATCCCTTCAAATTGAACCTCTTCAACACCTTCATCCTCATCATTCTTTAACAGTTTCACCATTGCCTTCACAAACGTCACTTTCAATACTCAATAATAGTAATAATATTAAAAGCATTAATAATAATCAAGTGCGCCTTTCACCGACTCTATCAACTGACCAACCCTTTCACTTGCCACCACCTCCAGCCAACTCTCCTGCTCTATCAGCATCAGCCACAATTGAATCGCAATTGAATTTGGGACAACATTTACCCTCAAAATTGGATCCTCTGAAAACAACTGATCAACAATTGGTGGCAGCAGCGGCTGCCCTTGGAAATGGCTCTGAGCCGAAGAAAAGTTCAAGCAAACGTCAACGTGGTTTAAAACGATGGACAGATTCAGAAGAATCTTCAGTATTATCTCAATTAATGAAACACCGATCAAATGAACCTTCAGCTTCTTGCTCTACCAGTAATGCATCTACAGTTGAATATAAACTAAACTCACGACAACTGCGAAACTTGACTCGTCGTGAGCGTTTATTATATCACAATGATATCTTTACTTCGTCCGATTATCTGAATTATCGTGAAGGAGCGAACACGCCTTTCATCACTGAAACCGACATCAATGCTCTCAATGATGCAGCAGTTCATTTGGCTTCAGATTCCACCTACCAAATTCCCAAACGAGTCTATAACCTTTCTGGCCTGAGAATGGGTCGAAGAGCATCGAGTGGAGCAAGCAGTTTAAGTGATGTTGCTGATGAAAGTGAAAATGAAAGGCAGGAGGATGTGAAAGATGAAGATGGCGATGCTGATGATGATGCTGACGAACCTGGTGAAGATGATGATTCAGAAAGAGAATCAGATAAACCCAACTCAACTGAAATTTGGCTGAAAGATTGTTTTGCCAAAGATGGAAGAGCTGTTTTGATAAAGAATAATGGTGAAAATAAAATTGAAAATTTGAATGGAAAGGTTAATGAGATTGAAATTATGAAAAAAGAATCTTCTCCTGAAGCAACCAAATTAACTAAATTTGATCAATTTGCTCAAAAAATTGAAACCATCCAATATTCATCTTCCTCCCTGTCATCACCTCAACCAGCAATAGCATCATGTTCATCATCACCCTCATCAACCAGTAAAACAATCTCATCGACAAAAGTTGAAAAAACGGATGAAACAAATTTACAAGTTCCTTTAATTTCAAATTCAAGTTGTCAACAGTTTACATCTTCCGTGACAACCATTTCAGGTTTAACCAAACCTAATCGTGTTCAACCAGTTAAAACACAGGAAAGCTTAACCTTTACAAACAAATCATCTGCATCCTCTTCATCACCCTCATCATCCACTTTAACAACAGACTCGAGATTAATTTCAACTGGAGCATCTTTAATTTCACGGAAAGAAAGTTTAAAACGTCAGGCGGAAAAAAAGAGAATGAAATATGAAGGAAAAGATGAATTTTCTTCTTCTTATTTTGAAACATTCGATCGAGACAGTTTCGATGAAGATGATGGAAATGATAAAGATGAACCTTTCAAGTCTGTTGAGAATTTCAACAAAATTGTGAATCAAGAAAAAAGAGAGTTTAAAAGTGAAGCAAAATTAAAAGCGAAAGATGAAGACGATGCTTGGAGGGATAAAAATATTGTAAATAATTTATCCTCTAATGATAGAACGTCAAACTCGATGAGTAATGTTTGGATGCAAAATAAAGATTGGAATGCTCTGGATGGAGATAATGTTAGAGATGATAATTTAGTATTAAAAGATTCTAAGTCAACAAATGATGCTCAAATGGACGATAAACAAAGAGATGTTGGTGATTCTAAAAATTCAAAAAGTGAGACTCAAAAAAGTGATCCTTTCATGAAAATGTTTAGTAATAAGGAAAAGCCAAAAGAAGCAGATTATGTTGACCAAATTGATGTTAAGCATAAGACGAATGAATTGATCCAAAATGAAGGTAACTCAGACTCGAGGAATGATGAGACTAAAGGAAAGGTTAAAACAAGTCTAAGGATAAACATTGATGGTAACAATGCTGATCGATCATCATTAACACCTTCATCACCTAAATTACTTTCGACAACTGATCAACAACAACAAATGGGTGATGAACAAAATAGATCGCTGATTCTTTTACAACGAACTCCTAGTGGGAAAAGAAAGTTACCTTCAGTTCCACCTTCACCTTCACTTGTAAAATCGAGTGAACCATTTGAACAGAATTTACCAAATACTCAGGTTACATCTGAATTTACTCGGGTTGAGGAAAGTGTCACTCATGCACAATCAGGTGATCAAGAGATGAATTCAACTATTTGTTCAAAAGTGCCAATTGTAGGTAAACAAGTAGCCAATGAAAACAAAAATGATTCAAATGTAGCATATTCATCATCATCCATGACTGGTACATATTATCAACCTCCAACTTCAGTTTCTGCATCATCTTCACCTCACCACCAACAACAGAAACCTCATGAATCGGTTCACTCAACGTCCAGCCAACCAGTTAATGTTCATCGACGAGTTCCTTCAGTTGGTGAAAGTCAAGGTCTATTTTCAAGTTTATCCAACAGTGTCTCTCGTGGATATCAAAGTGTAATCAATATGCCATCCATGTTGAAACGAGATTCACGGGAAAACTTGTTGAATAACTCTGCCACTAAACCCGGTGATTTATCAGGTCAACAGTCAAACGCATCATCTGCCAGTTCACTGGCGGCAGGAGATGGCTTTGCTCGTAAAAGCTCTTCAGTAATATCAGGCTTTTTCACTAGCTTTGGACGTCGATCACCCGCTTCAGCCTCTTTATCCTCATCGATTGCAGCAAAAGAAACAGGTATTGATAGATCCATGAGTGTTCAAACGGATGAAGGCAGAGGTAAACACGGCATACAACCTCACCAGTTGTCACTGCCAGAGTTGAGTGTTGAAGTCACTGAAACACCTGAGAAGGGTTCATCTGATGTTTATCCATCGGGACAACAACAAAAGCCGAACAGTTTATCTCCTCTATCACCTAGAACTGGGTCAGGAAGGAGACGAAAATTGCCTCAAATTGATCGACAGCAAAGCATTCAATCTCTACCTGACGAATCGTCAATCGATGCAGTTGACAAAGTAGCAAGTGAAAATTCATATGAAGAAACCATTTCGTCAGCCAACCTCCGTGCAGCTCATCGAATCTCATCTGGTTCTAATAGTGCTCATCGATCAGGTCAATATTTGACGCCCTCAAGTGGTAAAAGAGGAGGCATGAATCGAGAAGACAGTAGCCATGGTCAAGTAAATGGTCAGTCTGGTCATTCATTAGAGAAAAGCATGTCGGAAGAGTCAAACTTTTTCTCCTGTGTTTCAGGTGATTCCAGGCAGAGTTCATTTTTCCAATCAGAATATGGTTCAATGGAATCGGCTGAACCAGAAACAGAAGGTGGAACAACCCGAACAACTGGTGGTTCAAGTCGTCGAGGCAGAAGCTCAAGCAGTGGCATTGGAGGTGCTAATGATGATGATTCAGCCTTTTGTAGTGCCAATGACGACCATAGAAACAGTTTAACAGCCGATGAAACAGATCAACAATCGTTGACATCAAACACTTCACCTTTACCAGGCACTGGATTGATTGATTCAATCAATGAATCAAAGCAAAACAACAGTCAACTAGCAACAACACCAACAACACTCGCTCCTTCATCACCTAAACTCACCAATGAAACGGATTCTAATAACAGCAATAACAATGCAACAGCTCGATCAGTTGTTGGATTCATGTGGGAAGACAAACGAGACTCAATTAGTTCAACATCTTCAGGTGGTGGAGGCTTCCAGAATAGATTTGCATCAATCATGAAACAGAAGGTTGAAGAGCGACGTCAGGCAATTGTTGTTGTTCCCAATTCTGGTGGTGTAGTGAGTGAGGTCAAGTACGAAGAGGAAGAAGCCGCAGGAAAAAGAAGTGTTCAAAGAGAAGTACAAGTTTCAAGGGTTACAGGTAAAGAGGCGAGTATTGATGAGAGTACATTAAGTGATGATTCTAAGGCATCTTCAAAGACCAAATGGATGGCTGCTGTGGTGAGTTTTCAATTAAATCAACAAAAGCATGATTCAATAATGATAATAATCATTCAAAATATTGTTCAGAAATAATAGCAATTCATTGGTGATTCTCTACTTTTTTATCTCCATTTTTCTCACCGTTTCTCCATTCAGCTTTTAATCATTTTTTCTTTTCTCATTCAACCCCAGTTTTAACCTTTCATTCACCAATTCTGTCTATAACTCGAACATGTTGACAACATATTGAACCCTTCAATTATCATCTATCAATACATCAGTCATGCCATTATACTTATGCATTGTATCATGATTATGATCACAATATAATCATGGTTATGTTCACAGTTAATAGCTATGATAACCATTACCTTTCAACTTGCTTTAAAAGGTAAACTTGATACAATTTATTTGCATATATAATTGTATTGCAGAAACATAAAAACACGGAAAAATTGTTCATTGAAATGTGTGTATTTCAAATGATAATGAAAGGTTTCATGAGATATTTTCACGAAGAAAACTATTTCAATTCAATATTTTCTAAACTCAACATTTTTCTCTTTGATTGATTATCATTTTTACCTGAAAAGGTTGAACTCTGTCCAAGTATTGAATTTTGCTCGAAATTAGTTGATAAATTGTTTCAAATGTTTAATTTAATTCGATTCAGTTAAAGACTAAAATATTAGTCTTGAAACTGTTCGTTTCTCATTTCATCTCTACCCTCAGAATCACATTGATTCAGCCACAATCACCCACAATCAAGTTGAGTTTGTTGATCATGCTCATTATATTGTAGCCAAGTTTCCCTGAACAATCAGAGAAAAACAGAAATTCTATTTTGGTTGCTCACCATAGAACCATTGTTGATTCCCTGTCTACCTCTGTCTACATCTTTTCACCTTCACTTCTGTTCAGTTACAAGTCTCTGTTAATCCCTTGGGTAGACTGATGAATGCAATTGCAAGACATCTTACAACTGATCTTCATCTTTTTTCGCCCAAACAAACATACTTTTCCTCATTCCATACAATTGATTACTTTAAATAGCTTTCAAATCCAATTGTCATCCTCATCATCAACACTTTCATTTTCATCTCATTTACATTCAGATAAGTCCAGGTTTCTTGAAATGTTTCACCAGAATAGATATTCAAGTAGCAAATAAAGAAACGAGGAAACAGAAAAAAACAAAGTAAAATGTTTTCTCCTCGAGATGTTGATGAGTCAAATAAATATTATTAGTTCAACTTGCCATTGTTAACCCTTTTTGTTCACATTCAATGAGCAACTAAATGACAACTTTTAACTAACGTTATTAGTTTCAACTGATAGCTGTTACTTTATTGTATTTTCATCTCTTAATGATTACAAAAAGAGAGTCCAATGAAGGATTAATTTGATTGAAAAGACGCTTTCAGTTGAAACACACACACAAAAGAAAACAATTTGACCCAAAAGAGATGAACTTAAATGTCAATAGTAAGCCGCAAAGTACCGAAATCTCAGGTTAAACATAAAAATTCATTGATCCGCAGCCAATGAAAGACCAATTCCATTAATCTATCTTATACAAGAAAACTCTCAATTCGAGATTAGACCAAGATTGCAAAAATCAAGTCAACAAACAAGCTGAAAGGCTGAGCAAAATTCAAGGTAAAACCACTGAAATGTGCACAAAGAAAATCGTTATTTCCAAACATTTGCAATGTTTTTTTCCCTAATCATAGTATTCATTTGATTCCAAAGCCATTACATGGTAATTGCTTTGAAAAATGAGAACATGGAAAAATCATGAAAATCGTGAAAAAATGAAACAATAAAGATAATACGAAAAAAGGTAAAGAAACTCTGATGAGATTTGAAGAGATTTAATGAGTTTTAAAGTTATCACGCTCCAAATGGTTACTTTTTTTCTCCTACAAAGTCACTTCACTGCAAGAAGTTGATATTATTTTTCCCTGAAAAGACAATAACTTTCAAGTTTGACAAGCAAAGAGCACCAAAAGAACCCTGAAAAAGCTCATTAATCTCAATTCATTCATCTTTCCTTTTCTGGTCAATCTTAATAAAAAACTTTACTTTTTGTGATTTAACCAGAATTGCTCTTGAAGATGAGTTTACATTGAAAACTCAGATTATGGGTCAAATGGTCATTGACTTGAAATATAATGATAAGTTTTGTAAATTTTTCCTCTTTTTCCTCATTAATTTCAATCTTCCTACTTTTTAATGGTTTAGTGAATTTCAAATTTAATTAACAAGCCTGTTGAATAATTTAGAGCATTACTTTGAATAAATTTATCAATTTCTATTCCAATGATTAATATTGGGTGAAAAAAGAGGATGCAAATAATTATCTTCCCTTTGACTGTTTATTAATTATTTACACTTTGCTAAATTGACTTTTCTACAATTGGTTCAATTTTTAATCACAATTAGCAGTCAATTGATGATTGATTGTTTACTCTCACTCAACATTTTCACTTGATTAACTTTTGATTATAAATTGAGATATTTTAGCGATCTACTTTCAAATGCTTTCCTAATCAACAAATAGTAAGCCTGGGAGTAAAAATTATGCGTTAATATATTAATGCTTGAAAGAATCGCTATAATTGGCCTTTTCTTGTTAACTAAATCACGCTTCAATCAATATGCTTTTACCTCTTTCTTCATGTTAATTGTTTTGATAGTTTAATTTAGTATGATTAGCCATTTCGTTTCTACATGCAATCAAGAAACAAATCTGTTTTTTTCTGTTCTCAGTCAATTATCATGAATTAACTGGTAAAATGCTTTGTTTTCATTCATTTTATTGAATAATTGTTGAAATTTTCTTTTCCTTTTTTCCGCTTTTCGTTTCTCTTTTATTTTCAATAATAAACTTGAATCAAGTTATTATCATCAGTTAATAATTGAAATGCTTTACAAAAATTAATTATTCATTGGTTGATAAATTTTTCCTTTTATCGATTATTTATTTGCTTTTTTTGCACTTTTTTACACAAAAACAGGTTAAAATGGAGGTTATTGTTTTAAAGTTGGTCGTTATTTAATTTTCAGAGGAAAGAAATGTTAATATCAATTATTTAAGGCAACATTTGATCTTATTTTTATTTCTTCTTTACTTAAACTTTGATTATTTATGCTTGAATTGCATTTACTATTCAAATATCTCTTCATCAAACTCAATTCAGTTTTTGCCTGCAATTGCATTTAATCAGAGAATCAGAAAATCAGAATCGCATTAATATTAATCGAGATTTTTTTGCTGCTTGATTGTATTTATCCAGCTGGCCTGGAATCAAGAGAAGTTTCAATCGAGAAAAAATCAATTGAAATCATAATAAAGTAAAGCTAATTATTTCCAGTTTAACTAAGTTCGTCAAATCTGGAATCTACCAGAAATAACAAAAAATTAGTAGATTCAGTATTCTTGTGCATGTAAGATGATTAATTAAAACTTGCATTCAGTTTCTGGTTAAGTAGACAGAATTTTTTTATTTATTCTCATTACATTTCGATTCTTTATTAGCAACGCTCCTTTTGATGCTTCGAATGCTCATGAAAAACTCTGTTACTAAGATTATCGACCCATGATTGAGTTTTTCTCTCAATTTTAAACTCTACAATGATTTTTAAATTGATATCGAAGCAAAAAAAGACAAAAATTCATTTCGAAATATTTTGTTAGAAATTTATAAATGCAAATATCTCGAACTGAATACTAAACTTAATTATATATTTTTATTAATTTTAATAATTTAATCTCTTTTCATGCAAATGTTAACAAAACGAAGAAAAATATTTTTCTCTGAACTTGTCGTTGGCTGTTTATTTTTGTACCTGGAAATTTCAATGTTTGCTCAGGTCTTTCAAGTTGAATATACATAAAATATTTGGTGAAAATAAAGACGAAAATAATGAAAATTTCCAGGAAAAAAGGTAAAGTTACCAAAAGGGAAAATTTCAATAATATCAAGATAAAGAATAAGCGAGTGCAAAAATTGAGGTAAAAAATAGGTAAATGATTAATATAGCCATGAATATGGTGAACCTTTATGCTTATTATTTCATAATAAAAACCTTTTTATAGCGAAAGCAACAGTAAACAAAATGAAGCAGATAATGTTTCAATGTTTTACCATTTTACCCACTTTTGGGTTTCCCTTTTCACCATTTGTTTTTCTGTGTTTTCCGTTAATCGTTTCTGTTGAAACTTGCTTTGATTACTAAATTACGATGAAATTAACATTATTTACCAAATTATACATGAAAATAAATCTCAACTTGCTTCCTTTCACCAGGTAATGTTGAAATGAATTTTTCACTTTCTTTTTTTCCTTCAATCCTCAGCTTTATCCATCAACTTTCATGATAATCAGGGTTATGTTAACAATAATTTTACCTTTTCTTTCTCTTCTTTACCTTTTTGTTTCGAGATGAAAAAGAGGTCAAAAGATGAAACTTGATTAGATGAAGTTGTGTGAACAATGTAATGTTTCCAGTAATTTTGTTTTCAAATTTTATTGCCATTACCAAGATACAAACTTATACTGTAACCTTATACGTTGCAATGATAAAATTAACTTGAAAAGAGCGCAAAGAACCAGAATTACGTGAATTGTTTATTTCAAATATCTTAACAATTGTGATGTAATAATCATCCAAAGAGAACGGTCATTGTTTTCACTCTTATTTCTCATCATGTTCATCTTTCTTTTCTCATTGAAATGCATGTTATTCAACAAATACTTTCAGTGAAATTTTCTTTTCCTTCTTTACATTCTAAGAATTAAATTGGCTCTGAATCTTGATTTGAATAACCATTAAACTTGACATAATCTAATTTCTGTCCATTAATGATTCAATTTACAGAATCTCAATGTTTCAGGATTGCCATATGAAACCAAACTGATTTTATCATTCAATAATACTTTTAATGTTTCATTTGATTTATTTAATTCACTCAATTTGGTGGAGTCAAAAAGTGTCTCAAATTTTGTCTTCGC